ATATATGTTTACATACCAGATTAATACAATAAATCATATTTACAGCAAATCCCCGACAAAATTCACCATTGTTTTGATGAACAATGTATAACTGACAGAAGTAAGCCCGAAATAAATAGATGTTGACTGTTAGTAGAAAACTTAGTCATTACGCGTTGAGGATATAAAACCAAAGTACTGTGTCTTTCGCAATTTTTAAACCGTCAATACAAAGTCAAATAAATAGATAAATAAATAAATAAATAAATAAATAAATAAATATGTAACATATGACAATATAATATATTAAATAGCTTCAGAACGCGATCATAATCCCACTGAAAGTCTCCGTATCTTTTTGTAAATTAATGCTTTTTCTTTGGTTTTTTATATAGAACATTTCTGCTATTTCTCTTTTTCTCGTTTGTTTTTCTTGATGCAGGATCACAGGAGAATCCAACGGAACTCATGATCGTTACAAGTCCGATGCAAAACTAACAACTGAGTGTGATGTCGTGTCTTTTTTAATGTTATTTTTATGTTCCTTAATACGTGTTTCTAAATGTCGCTTTGTTTGTCCAATATATGTAGAGTCGCAATTCGCGCATTCGATCTTATAGACGACATCGGTTCTTTTAAGTTATCAATACTATCTTTTCCTCTTTTTATCAAAGTGTCTAATTTTTTTGGAACGGTATTCTACACCGATTCCATTTTGTTTATGCAACGAGTAAATTTTCGCTCAAATCTCTAATATACGGCAACACTATAACATTTCGTGTATCAAATTTATCTCGATTAGACGCACCAAAATTACCGCCAATTTAATCGCCCTAAGTCTCCTGTTAACAATTTTGTTTATGACTGTTAACGGGTAACAATTGTTACGAAGAATTCGTTTGACTAAGATGATGTTTTTCTCGTGAAACATAGGGTCAGCGAGTAAAATAGCCTGTCACGAGACTTGTGATCACACTAATTTATAACGCATCGGATGGTTCGAAAGAAAATTTATATAAACGGCCTGAAAACGTAGGCTTACGGAACCAGTCAGTCGTCAATTTGCCATTAACTCGCATAACGCTTGTGTCTAAAAACTTAAGGAACAATTGTTCTCCAATTCAAACGTAAACTTTAGTCGGTGTGAAAACTATTAAAAATGTAAGCATATCCTCCACTTTACATTTGGAATAATTGAAAAATGTCATCAACATATCTGAAATAACAAAAGGGCTCAAAATCCAATTGACGCAAACAATATGATTCCAAATCGTCCATCACCATATCAGACAAATTGGAGACAAGGAGACCCCATAGGCGAACCGAAACCTGCTCGTAAAATTTTCCATCGAAAACAAAAACTAGTCGAGCGTATGACCGTGTCAATAGCATGTAAAACTGTGCAATGTTAAATGAAGTAAATTGTGAGATATCATCCCAACGGTTTTCTATTGCTGCCTTTATTATTCCCACGGTGTGTTGGTAAAAAGCGAAGTCACGTCCCAACGAAATCATGACATGATCGTCATCAATGTTTTTATCTTTAATAATTTCAACAAAGGACCAACTATCCTAATGTGAGATCGAGGTTTCTTGACTGCATTTTGTAAAATCTCACCTAAATAAGATGCAATGTAATAAACGGACTTCCCAAGTTGAAATTATGATACGAAGAGGGTAACCTACTTTATGGATCTTAGGTAAACCATAGGCACGAGGCAAATTGCCATTAGTACATCTCAATTGTTTGTAAATTGAATCATCTATGAGTCCATTATCCAACCAAGAATAATTTTGTTAATATATATTTATGTAATAATGGAATGTGCATATAGCTTTAAAATATATGTATATATATATTTTTTAATGTTAGAAAAAATGAAAGACTAGTTTCGCATAAAATACAACAATATATTTCTTCTTAATATATTATTATTCTTATTTAAATATCGTAATACATAGAGACAAATAAAATTAATTCATATATTTTCATTATGCATATGTATATACAGAAAATCCTATGTAAGTAACACATATCAATATTGCTGTATTTTTTGTCACAGAATAAATATCTTTTTTTGGCAAATTTCTGGAAATGTATCGATTTTTAATATTTAATAATATATTGATATAATGCACTATCTTAATTTTTAAAATTATTTTTTGCAAAAACACATTTCAATAATTTTCTATATAAATAATATTTATTATTAATTAATATATTTTTACATATTATAATTAATAATCGACATTTTTGACTGAGGAAAAATCATCTCCAAATAATGACGGGTACCTTAACTTATAAGGTATTCTGCATATTTTTGTTTATATAAACAATGCATGTACACATAAATAAAACGTATTTTATCAAAATAATTACTGGAGATATTAAAAGAGAAGATCTTGAGCTATTTTATGTGTAGTAAACTAGTAACTTTATGTATAGTAACTTTGTGTAGTAAATATAAATTTAAAGTGTAAGACAGGCAATAGGAGCCAAATCGCGGATGACAGTGCGTTATCCCAACGAAACTAAATTTTTTTGTTAGAATTAAATATTTATGTTTATTTCCTTAGGGGGGAAGAGGGGATGTATGGAATTAAATCTCTTGGGAGAGATTATTCCAATTTTAAATCTTGGCTGTGACCAAGTAAAATTTGGTGCCTGTGCACAGGTATTTAATTCTAACGAAAAAATTTAGTTTTGTTGGGATAACGCACTGTCATCCGCGATTTGGCTCTTATTGCCTGTCTTACACTTTAGATTTATATTTATATTACAGAGCTTGTTAAACTCTTAATTTGTGTAGTAAAATTCTTGACATACCGTTTATGTCACGCTACGGTAATTAATATGACATTTATGTGTGTAATTTTTCAGTCTCATACTCGACATTTATAATACGATTTGTGAACGAATTATGAGTTGCTATTAAAGATTGAGTCTAAACAAAAATTCATGTTGCTATAATATAAGAGTATAATAGGATTATACTCTCAGTAATCTTAATGTTACTTGACTGTAAACGTCTTTTGAATCAGAGAAACTTGCAGTGCAAAAGATACTCTATTAAAAACATGAAAACTGCAAATATATTACTCGTTGTTTTATTCGGTGTGTTACTTCTGTTAGTAAGTAATTTAAAACATCATTCGCATAATTTAAAAAATTACCTTTTAGAATACAAGGTATTCAAAGTTTTTAATATACTTCTATATATTTATTCGTATAATTTAATTACAATATGGTAATAAAATTGTTCCGATACATACTTCCAATATTGAAATCTTAAAAATATTTGAACATAGACAAACTTTTTTACTAATTAATGTATCTATAAAATTTATTCAATTTTATATGTTCGAGCACAAGCAGATATCAAACGAGATTGTCGGCAGCAAACAAATGTTTCTTGGGTAATAATATTTTTTTATTGCTCGCATATAATTGAAAAGAATGAATTCTCTCTTAATTGGATTATTTAACCCAGCATCCTTGAAACGATTGAAGGCCGGCAACGTTGAAGAAAATGAAATGATATCAATTTAAAATGTTACTTGAGATGCTTTATGCTGAAGAGTGGTATTCTTAACGAAAATAACAATATAGATGTCGAGAAAGCTGTGCGTCATCTTCCACGTGATATGCAAGAGTCGTCGAGAGAAATTCTTAATCGATGTAAATCGATTCGTAAGTCTTTTATTCTTATTGCTTTATCGAACAGTATGATTAATTTCTCTTTTAAAATTAATATAAGTTATAGAGTGTACACACACACATATAAAATGTATACATTGCATGTTTTTATTTGTTTTTAAAAATACAATAGAATACAATAAGTCTGAAAAAGGGAAATTGATTGTTGGCACAGCTAATCAAAAAATTAATTTTAGCAGCGGAAAATAGTTGCGATAGAGCTTTTCAAATAGCTAAATGTTACGTTGAAGCAGAACCAGAAGTAAGAGTTATATACAACGTAAAACTTAAATAATTAAAATAAAATTTGCACTTAAAAATATAATTATAAAATTATAAAAATTCTTATAATGCGTGTATTTTATTTGCAGATTTTAAAAAAGGTATCATTTGTTTAAAGAATGATTGCTTTATTTGTAAAACACTGCATCGAGAAATAGAAATTGTATGGTAGTAAAGTAATATAATAATATAGTAGTATATAAAATGTAGCTTTTTTTTATTTATAATATTATTATCTTTCATATATTAAAAATTATTATACATATGTGTATGTGTAAAATAATTATAAAAATATTAAACTAATTGACTTTATTTCTATTTTAATTTCAAATATTGTTTATATAAGTAGTGCAATTTTTATTTAAAAAACACACTTTTTTCACAGATTATACATACTTTTTAGATTAAATAATATAACTGCATAGTGCAATAAATAAAATATATTACAATAATGAAATCTATTAAAAAAAGGTAAGTTAAGTTGAGATATTCAAATACATCAAAATCCTCTCGAAATTTTCGAATTGTATTATTGCCTGTTTTTTGTAATGTCGAGTGCTCCCTTCGTGTTGGATGTTAAAGTGAAATTCGATCTCTATCACATTTTTTATTTGGATAGTTCAAAGATAGTTAACAGCAATGTAAGTGATTTTACAATATTTGTTTGACACAATAATTCACGCAATATTATTAATAAATTATGAATTCGTATAACATTGTACAATTGTTATGTTAAATAATTTTTTTAAATTATATAATTTCGTAGATCGTAGACTAATTGACATATATTTATATTAATTAGTATATAATTACAATTTTATCCATCGATAAAGACAATTTTTTAATAATAATATATGATATTTTAAATCAGCCAATAGAGCTCAAGCGCGAAAATTAATTCTTTAAAACTGTATCTCTTGGTTGAGATTATTAATTGTAAGTTCCATATATAAATTAATCTCGAACTTACATATGGAAAAATAGGCAATTTTTTAAATTTAGAAATTATTAATTAAATAAATTTGAAAAATATATATGATTTGTAATGTGTGCACTTTATTATATTTCTGGTTAATTTAATAAAATACATGTATATATTTGTTCGCGGATAATCTTTAAAAAAGATGCCGATAGAAATAGATGAATACCCATAGTAACGCGTAATATTTATTTATAATACGTTAAACTTTACTCATTCAACACTACGCACTTTGCCGAAATTTCAAAATTTCTCCAGGATAAAAGAGAATTGTTCGATTAAAGCACACTCATCTTGTAACATATCGAAAAGGATCATCATGTGTGATCATTGCGCGTAAGTATAATTCCTTATTCTGTGTAAGTCTACATTATATGAAGTAATTTTAACCTTTCATTTTAACCTGTCATTTTTTAATGCTTAAAAAACGACGATATGATACGCATAAATAAAAATAAAATTTTTTATTTGTATATATGTATATGACTCTGTTCTAATTACAACTGTGTCGTAAATTATCTCATGCATAATTTATTATTTTGAAACTTTTTGACATAATATTACATGTGTATGTATAAAATGTTGATATGATTTTAGCAAAATTACTAGTCAAAAAGGATACGCTGGTCAAGTGACTTGTCGATGTGAGCAGTAAGTTTCATATATGTATATTTATCAATTTATAAATATGTTTGTATAAAATTATTTTCTATAAGACTACGCTACACTGTTTGTTTAAATGATTAATGCGTTCTTTTGAATATTTATGCCTTGTTAGTGTGTGTTGATAAAACAATTAAAAAAGTTTTTTAATTAATATTAGTCTATTCAAATATACATATGTACATATATATATATATATATATATATATATATATATTATGTATATGTTATGTGTTATACTTGCAGGCCCGAGAAAAAGACCGATGCGGCTATAAGGAAAAAGATTATGGCGGATGTTGCAGCAAAAAGTAAAGAGATTAAAATAATCATTTAAAGTAAGAAACGAGTCACACGTTTTTAAACACCTATATGGTCGCCTGGTTACGCGATAACGATTTCACGGGCGTTGTGACGCGCAAGTCTCTCTCAGGGACCTTCATTAATTCGATAATTCAGTGATTGTGATTCCCGACTGAAAATGTGCAGAGAAAAAAAAGCAAACGGAGAATGTTGCGGTGCCAAATGTTGCGCCGGTACGAAGGAGGAGCATGGCGGATGTTGTAGTGATGCCAGCACGGATCGTAAGAGCTGCTGTCCAACAGGAAAGTAATTTTCCGATGGTCCAGTCCTTGAGTGCTACAAGGTTAAAAAGGCGGCCATATGGGCTATCTCGAATTAATTCGCGAGTTTGCTCTTTGAAATTCGCATTGTTATGACTTTCACTCGAATATAAAGTGCTTCATCCAGGCACATCCGTTCGATCATTCGTATATTGAATTTTATAAATCACTTAATATCATCATTACGTTTATTCTTTTCTTTTTCTAGAGCGAGAGAGGCAGCTGGCGGTTGCTGCATGTCCGGTTGTTGCAAATATAAAGACGAAAAAGAACGAGGCAGATTCAACAACCGCTGATCGCATCAAGCCAAAGAATATTACGGAGAGATGCTGCGGCGAAAATAGTAAATAGTTTTGAGAAATATTTACAATGTATATATTCTCCCTCTTAATTCGAAAAAAGTAAATCTTTTCGCTATTTCTCTTTTGCCACCGTATAAATCGATGATATTCGAATAATAAAAGTTTTAAAATTCGTACGTATAAAATATCGCTTTGTGATTTTAACTGCTGCAAAAAAATGTACAAAGCATATCGCAATTTTGCTTTGTTTACTACTTAAGATATAACAGCATGACGAATATTATTTTTCAAATAAATTACATTTTAATTAAATAAAGTGTTTATCTCGTAAAGAGGTAACACGATAGGGGTTGCCATTTTGATTTTAAATACGTATCGTTAACACGTAGAAATAAAAACCGGAGACGGATAATTTCAAATAGAATAGGGATATAAATATATATATACATATATTCAGGAAGTAATTAAAAGTCGTGTAGGCGTGCATTATGACGTCACCTATATAAGGAAAATCCGACGTCATATCCGCGTATATCCGCTACGGGTGACGCAAAGAAGCGGGTGCCTCGAGCAAAAGAGATGATAAGGGTAAAAATGCACGTGTGTGTGTGTGTGTGTACGTGTGTGAGTGTATATATATATATATATATATACGTTTGTATATGTGTTGCGCGCGCGGGGATGATGCGGCTCGATGCGGCGCGCAAGCGCGACTGGTGCGGAGCTTTTCGAGCCACGCGATAGTAGCAGTCGGCCGTCTAAAACCGCGAAACACGTAACCCGCGTTCTCGTTACAGGAAGAGTATCCCCTCGTGAGACTCTCTTCGGTCGAGCCAACTTTTACACCCCGCTTTTAATTGCGTATGTAATGTGCGGCGAATTTCGAGGGAAAATTCGAGGACGCGTCGTTTCTTCCCTACGTTGTACCCTTCCTCGATCATGCTCCTATCCATTCGCTCGTGCCTGATACCGACATTCGACAACGCGAACCGAATCACGGCTGATATCAACAGCACCATCGCTGTCATCATCACCTGTGCCACGAATATCGTGACTTTGTGACATCAATCCGGCGAAATCGATTGAATCGCAACCGGCGATCGGGAAAAGCCGTGACCTTGAAGGTTCACGTTGCAAGCGAGAGACATGCCAGATTAGGGGGGAAGGGGGGCAATTAACGCGCGTTATGCGATCATGATGCGCTAATGGAGAACAATCGCGGTACCCGCGTTATTTTCCTCGGAAGAAAGAACACATGATTGCGTTGCGATGCACGTATAGGATATACAATGGTGCGTACAACCCACCCTCTCAACCCCTGCGTGCTTCTTTATTTAATACCACTGTTTCCGCCGTCTTTGAAACATTCTTTTTCAATTTACCTGATTGAATGAATCAAATCGCTGAATGAGTAGATTTGCTATATCGTTGAGTGTTCAATTTTTCATCCGTTGCATTTTAATATGCTATCCATAAAGGATTTTCTGTTAGATCATACGAAAAGTAGCTATAAATTCCGTGATTCTTGCTCCTTTAATTAACAATTCATATACAGAAGAACAATAATCTCATGTGCGGATTAGGATTATATTCCGGTTTTATTATTTCTATTTATTTTATTTTCTACATTATTTTAAAAATTAATACACGAGAAAGGCTAGATTACAAAACATTCATAAAAAAAGGCTGCATCTTAAATCTTGTTAATGACAAAGAGTATAAATTTCCGAGATTCAAACTTTTTTGCATCGAAAAATATTTTATATACGTTTTTGAAATAAGATACATTACGCTAAGAGAATTAACATGATTCGCGTGACATTATACACAGCGGATGAAATTGATCTCGCCAATGTACACATAGGATAGATTTTAATATTAAGGACACTTTTACGATCACGTTTCCATCATTGAATTTTTATTTTTTCAATGCTCTTATACTTTCTTTCAATATTTAAATAATGTTTTAACGTTTGATAGAATTTTTCATTTAATATATTCTGTGTTGAAAATTCCATATTGTGTGCGTTTAAATTCATTCAAGAGGTAAAATCTACGTACAAATCGTATGATACAACGAGAAAGATAGCGGCAAAAGAGATATCTCTATAACAAGACGAGATTATTGAAGATTGAAAACCTATCAAAAGAGCATTTGTCATTCGATCAAAGATTACAAGGATGAGTTAACATTGCATATCTTTTATAGTCGAGTAGTTGACATTAATAAAAAATATTCTAATAATAAAAGTTCTACTTGTATATAGAGCTCTGATTTTGTATTTTAATTTTTCCTGTTTTTTTTTTTTGCAAAAAAAATATATTTGCATAAACGTAGAATTATGTACTGATTAAATAATTTAAAGATTTGCATAAACATTTAAATTATGTGGTAATTAAAAAATTTAAAGGTCAAAAAAAAAGAAAAGAAAAGAAAAGATTAATTCGTATATAGCATCAAGCTATACATGCAGCAATTATGTTCACGCGTTCATAAATTACGCCGCGTAATTTTCGAGTTTAATCATACGTCTCTAACCATGTGGAAACATTTAAAAAGCGGATTTAAATCATTCAATTATGGCAGCATGATGAAAAATCCTTTTATTATGAAATAAAACAATTAAAGGAAATAAATTTTTGAAATATATTTTCTTCATTTATCACGTTACATTAGTTATTCGTCCCTAGTGCAAGAGTAAAAAGTAAGAATCATAAATCAAAAATTATTAATACCAAATCTGAAAATATCCCATTTAATTTGATCTCTGAAACTAGAGAATACTGATGATACATAATACGCACTTATTTATAACGAACTACTATGTCGATTCGATTTGGATGCAAATTTGAGATGCAGAATTTATTCTCATTTTCATATAATTAAAATTCAAATTTAATTATTAAATGAATATAATTATTTAATCTATTCAAGCAGAGTCGATATTTTTTGTCAAAAGTTGACTGAATCTTATACATGTAAAATAAACGAATAAACGAATATATCTGAAGAGTTACAAATGATAATAGACTATTGACACCCACTGACTTCCGGCTTACACGATTACCATTTGGCCAATCTTATGCAATTTTACAATTGGTCGCGACGGGGTCACACAAACGGGAATGTAATATCAAGCCTTGTAAAATAGATTTCTCTTTCCTCTTCGACTTAGCAACGCTAATTTATGCTATCATTTCATGTCATTTCGGTACCTCAAGATAAAAGATTAGTAGTACTTAAATTATAATAAAGAATATTTGCCTTTGACAGTCATTTTATGTTCTCGATATGTCATCTTTGATTCACTTTGCATATGTTTAATATTGCTATATTAATTTATCTGCTATAATTTTTATTAATTATTGCTAAAAATATATATATTTAGCAATAAAAATGTACTGTATTTAAATAATTATTTTAAACTTGTCTGGGATTACATATAAATAATTTAATTATTTTAAAACAATTTAAAACATATGTTATATATTGACATACAATAAATATATGTATCTATCATGTCATATCACATGTTTAGTAAATTTCAGAAAATATTTACATTTTGTTCTCTCGAATTTTTCTTTCAATTTCTCGCTCCTCTACTCTTGATGTCTTTTCTTACTCTCTCCCGATCAGTTACGTAAGTTTATCTCTACCTACTCCTGATCCTCCTATCGCAATTTCGTAAGTTCTTAAAGAAACAAGGGAAGAGATCGCACATATATCTAACTTGATCCTCGTCGAGAAACGTGCGATATAAGGATTTGTTCTTTGAAAGAAATATTCTTCATTACAAACATGGCTTTAGATTCAGATTCCACAAATTTTTTCAAATTGTTTATGATTTATTTTAATCGTTTATACTCAATTTTATATGTATATATCTACATCACTTTACGCATTTAAAATTCGTAAATAATGCGTATATAAGTTTGAAAAGTAATATCATAAAAATCATTATTTTTTTTAACAAATTAAATATATTTAATAGAAAATATTAAATAAACGCGTTTACAAAATTATTTTTTTTATCATGTAATGTTTGTGATATGATCATAAATCAAGTTGAATTTGCATAGATAAGCCACACATTAAAATATTTTTGTACTACTTTTATTTTCTTCTTTATCGTATAATTTTTATATAATTTTATCTTCGCAAGAGAAACATCTGACGTTCATTTTATTCTCGATAAAATATGTTTTACATTTCATAATAAAATTAAAATATTGTTAAAATTCGAATATAAAAATCTGAATTGTTCAGACAACTTTGCAGAAAGTTTAAAATTAATTTGATCCTTTTGATTTATACATTTATATTGAAAAAAAAGTGTTTTCAACATTGAAAACTTTTGAAGAAGCAGATATTTTTGATCCTCCAGGATAATGTGTTCTTCATTAATGAGCTGGTCGTTCTACGATGGAGAAGTTATTTTTTTTATACTACTATACATGTATATATATATATCGATCGCCATTGGTACTATTCATCCGTAATGACCAAGTTCAACGGCGGCCTTCTTCAACGGCTATGTGTGTAAGATCGAATATATTGCATACTGCTAAAACGAGGGAGGCTACGAGGACGCGAGGGTGCGGGGTCAAAGATGATTGTGATAATCACTCAACGATGAACATCCATAAATAGGCATAGTCGGGGAGTGGTTTATAACACTGAAAGAGAGAAAATTGAAGTTTTTTGAAACTGATTGTTCACATACGGCATGATTAGAACTAGTACGGAATTCAGATTTGTCTGCAAACTAATAATATTTTTATTGACGTAAATTAAAATAAAAATCCGATTAAAAAATTTATATATCTGCACACTGTTTATATATAATTTATATTTTTATATAATTTTAAAATTTTTTCATGATTTTTAAATATGATGTTTAAACACCGATGTATTACAAGAATTAATCCGATATCGACAATTTCTCGATAAATTTTTACCTGTACAATGTCTGCATCCGATATTCAGTGAACGAAAACGATTTCCAGAAGAAGATCGGAGACCCATATGCAAAATAGGATGACGCGGCACGATAGCTTTAATATCGCTTCGAAAGAGTTTGTCATGCCTCGAGGGAGATTCTTAGACGTCATGTCCCCGGCAGAAAATGGAGCCGTCAATATTGGTCAATAAAATTGTCGAAGCGAGAAAATTCACTTAAAGTTAGATTACGTTAGGATATGCGTTTGTCTTTCACTTTGATTGCTTGGCCATAAATTTGTAGTGGAGAATGCGATAAAACTCATGAAAATCCGTAAAGTCAATCATGATCTTAAATACTTTTTAATTTGAATACTCGATATCATGATACATATGAACAAAACAGAACTTGAAAAGTGCGATCATAAGCAATCGTTGATGTTTATTGTTAGGAATAAAACTGCTTCAATTTAAATATTTATATAAGAGTTTAATTCAACTTTATTTTTAATGCAGAAAAACAATCATGAATCTCTTTTCTTATCTTGCCGCGTCTTATTCAACTTCACGACTTTATTTCAAAATGATTGTTAGCGGGTAAGGTAAAGTAAAATGAGATTCACCGTACTCTTTTGAACGTTCAGGAAATCTCGACTTAAAATCTACTAGGATCATAATGTTGATCTTGTTACGCACTCAAAACTACTTATCTAAAAGTCTTATCTAAAAAGTACCGTCTTACGTTTAAATATATTTTATGCAAATTATAATTTTCCATACAAATTACTATTATCTGCAGAGATGACTCGATAGTTTTGTTTTGGTAAAAATGATATTGTCGCTTGTTATTTTCATATCGATACGACCTTTCGTAATGTAGCCCGCTCGATGAATCGTAAGCATAAACACATTATTGTTCTATAAATGTCCGATCGACGATAAAATATCTGACCAAATGAGAAAACTCGGATTAATTTTTTCTCATGATAAGATTTATCAAGCATCTTTATAAGACTAACAAGAATTGAAAAAAGAGAAAGAAAAAAAGAGAGAGATTTTAATGAATCTTTTTAAATAATTTTTCTCGGTAATAATTTGTATCTACTATCAATTAAAATCAGATTTCAAAAGAATGCTTATTTTATCGGAGAAAAATGAAAGATATTAACATCTGAGAGCTTTTGTAAGGAAAGGAAATATTTGCTTAATAAATTGCAATGACGCTTAGAATATAATACGAATAAAATCATCTTACTCGCAAAAAAATTTTTGTCTCATTTTTCATCATTATTTCTCCGAAGACAAACTTACTTTCATGAACTTACTTATTTGTTTCAGGTATTCGAAAGACAGATAATTTTAACCGAATGAATATACCACTGAAGATAGAAGAAGTTGTAAACTTTTGACATTTCTCGATTGCTGCCATTCGTGTGTTCTGTACTTACTTTAATATCGCGGTCGATAGAGATATATTGTGCCAAATGTCATTATCGATATCCATACGTGATAGATACAGATAGATACGTGACAAGTGTGTTGAGACAAAAGTTTCATCGGTCCTTTACAAGATATATAATCAAATCATAGATTGACGGAAGCTTAAAAATTGATTTAGCATCAGGCTATCTCATCGAAGTGCATTTTACGTATAATTAATTTGTGAAAAGATATGACGGTATCGTAGAATTACAATGATTCTCCGAGGTGTCTCAATGAGAAAACAAAATGACAAAAAAACAGACAAGAAGGAGAGCTCTCATAAATGCGACGGCGATGCTCTGACGTCCAGCCGCCTCGAGAACGTCGCGAGAATCATCATCTTGGACGATCATCGCGTGTCGGGGTGATTACGGTCGCGAGGGACCGTCGTCGTAGTGGCTCGGCTGCGCACGGCGAAACATGAACGACAGCGAGATCTATTTATTGAGTAGCTGGGACGACGAGGCACATCCATTAAACGACGATTTGATCGGAAAGAGTTTCTACAACACGAGCTATCCGCCGTTCTTCAATCAGACCTACGAGGATCTCTGGGGACTTGCCTCGGATCGAATTGGTCTTGCGATTGTTCTGCTGCTCTTTTCCGTAGCTACCGTCTTCGGAAATTCGTTGGTAATCCTCGCGGTATTTCGCGAGAGGCATCTGCACACGGCGACGAACTACTTCGTGACCTCGTTGGCTTGCGCCGATTGTCTGGTAGGCCTGGTGGTGATGCCGATCAGCGCGGTGTACGAGGTATTAGAGAATCGTTGGCTCTTTACGACGGACTGGTGCGATGTATGGCGATCGCTGGATGTTCTTTTCTCCACCGCGTCCATCCTGAATCTGTGCGTCATTAGCCTGGATCGTTACTGGGCGATCACCGATCCCTTCACGTATCCGATGCGTATGACCAGGAAACGCGCGGCCATTCTGATCGCCATCGTGTGGATCTGCTCGAGCGCGATCTCCTTTCCCGCGATAGCGTGGTGGCGAGCGGTACGCACCGAGGATGTACCCGAGGACAAGTGTCCGTTCACGGAGAATCTCGGCTACCTGATATTTTCCTCGACAATTAGCTTCTACCTGCCGTTATTCGTGATGGTGTTCACGTATTACAGAATCTATCGCGCCGCGGTGATACAGACGAGGAGTCTAAAACTCGGTACGAAACAAGTGATGATGGCCTCTGGCGAGCTCGAACTCACGCTCAGGATGCATCGGGGCGGTGTATCCACAAACACCGACGCCAGGCACCTCTTTCGCACCGCCTCGAGCACGCCCGAGGATCTCCAGGATCTCGAGGAACCATTAACGGTTCCGCTCCACAACAACGGTCTCACCAGAGTGCCGTCTGTGCGGATTAACAACAAGCAGCATCTGGGCAAAAATTTCTCCCTGTCGCGGAAGCTCGCCAAGTTCGCCAAGGAGAAGAAGGCGGCGAAGACTCTCGGCATCGTAATGGGTGTCTTTATTATCTGTTGGCTGCCGTTCTTCGTTGTGAATTTATTGTCGGGATTCTGCACGAGGTGCATATGGCAGGAGGAAATCATTTCCGCTGCTGTCACCTGGCTCGGCTGGATTAACAGCGGAATGAATCCCGTAATATACGCCTGCTGGAGTAGAGACTTTCGTAGGTGAGTTCTGTGTTGTTCATTAATTTTTATTTCGCGGAAATCAGAACAGTCGAAACAATTATCCCACGCATATATTTCACACGCTTAAGCTTTGCCTTTATATATTTTGTAGAGTTTAATACACGTTATTACGCCATATATTAATTAGAATTGGATCTGCAGACATTTATTTGATTTTATATTGCATGAAAATAATAATTCGGAATTAACTATTAATTTTAACAGTATATTATAATTTTAATAGTTAATTTAGAATTGTTATAACAGTTAATCGTAGTTAATATTTTGATATTTTACAAATATATACCTCTAATTTATTTTATATATATAAAGAAAATGGAGACTACATTAATATAAAATATAGACATTTAAATATAAATTTGTTTGATACTTATAAAAGTAAACTCTTTTCTTTATATTACATTAAAGAAGATTGGACACTTTTGAAGGCAATTCGAACATTTCATGTTTGTACAAAGTGAGTCATCCAATTTAACTTTTACTTCAAATTACTTGTAAAGAACTGTTGACGCAATAAAAAATAAGTTAAAAATAATTTACTAATAAAATTTGAGATGGTGAAAAAACTGATTATTATATAGATGTACATGTACATCTACTTTGATGTGTTTATGCGACATTTTTGTTTAAAACATATTTTCACATAACAATTTACGAGTAATTTATAGTAGTTAAATTAAATGACATATACAATGCTGAAATAATATAATTATTTTCCTATATTAATAAGAGTATTGAAGCACAAAGTTTTCATATATAAAACAAAATTATTCCGCGTGTACGAAAATGTTCATGTAATTATCGCAGAACACTTGCAACATCGCATCCAATTTTCCGCAACGTCCTAATAGAAACATTTCGCAATAATCATCAGCATTTTTAAGATTCCGGCTTTCACGCAATATTGCTAAATATGTTGTACACGACTGGGGTTTCGCATATGCCAGAAACATTCCGCTACGAATAAGCAAATTCGCGTCTATGACGCCCTGTACGGTACGTTTGTACTCTTTAGTAGCAAACGTTAATGTTGGATAGTTATATATACGTACCATTACCTTCATCTACACCCCTTTCTCATATTATACATATATACACATAATATATAATGCGAATAGTAGTGCTAGAATATTAACGCGTATGTACATGTCACTAGGTTTACGAGCGCGAAATGTACATACATAGTTTACAATCTATCATCGCGGACTGACATTACCGTTACTCTCATCCCCAATTGTCAGCATTCTCCTAATGCGAATATCAATATTATCCTTTTCCCCTATCTCCGATTTACCGAGCATTAGTTATCAAACTTAGATCAGGAAGACGATGAAGATGATAACACTTCCGAAAGAGAGAGACAGAACTAGCTATATATAAAAAGAATTTGCCAGATTGTAGATCGATTTTAAACCAAACCTTGACGAAGCTTTCTTTTTTTAAAACGTATATCCACGATGGAGGGCGTGCGCACACATACACACTCTATCCCCTGTGCATATACGTTTTTAACAGGAGAAAACTCTATGGAACTGTGATTTAAAATTGATCAACAATCTCCGGAGTAATCTTTTTCTGGTTTTTTTTTTCGCTTCTGGAGGTGTGTTGTCACCTTAATCGTCTCTTCGATTTATTCGGTAACTAAGGCAAGTCTTTCTCTCTCGCTCTATCTCTCTATTTATCTATCCATTTATATACATATATATGTATGCATAAAAAGCAAGAGAGAGACAGAGAGAGAGAGAGAGAGAGAGAGCAAGGGTTTTCTACCGGAACAGAAAGAGGGAATTTGGCTAGCAGAGATTGTGGGTGGATTAGCCAGAGACTCTTTAGCAAATTACTTTTATTCGTCCGCGTGAAATGAGTCCGAAGTTTCAGGACGCTCGCGCATTCGACATTTTCTTCCCTCATAGCCTCAACGAACGCTACCGGGATGCTCGGCATTCATGAAAAGCATTTATCATCTTAATATCTTCTCGGCTTGATAGTAGCTACCGAGAATTTTCTTTGCACCTTTGTACCGCGCGAATCTCTATAATATTTCAATTTTTAAGTGATTCGATATATATACATTTTTTAACAAAGAAAGAAATAATAATAGATAAATCAATTAAACTTGTATTTAATTTTTATTTTAACTCAAATTAAATGGATTCTATAATTAAATAAATGGTCAGACAGCAGTACGATAAGGGAAGTAACAGATTGATAAATTATTGTATTATACAGAAAATATCTAGTAATTGTGTGTTAATTCCAATATAATAATGATATATTTTTTAAAAACATATAATTGGAAAAGAAAAGTAAAATATATATTATGTGTGTAAAATAATTTAAGAACTTTTTGACATGGTATCGCAGAGAATTAACAATTCTGAATTAATTTTAAAATTATTTTAAAATTACAAATCTAGCTAACATTTTAACATTTTGCAAACGAAAATAGAGATACTTTTAACTTTATTTTATATAAAAGAGCGAAGAAATATTATATAAATGTAAATACTAAAATGTAAATTTGCTTGAAACTTCTAAAGCTAAACTGATCTCTTCTGATTATATTTTAAGAAAGATTTGAATACTTATAGAGCTAATTCGAATATTATATATATATATATATATATATATATATATATATATATATATATATATATATATATATATATATTTTTTTTTTCAAAATACAACTCTTAATATAATTCTTAATAAAGTAAAAATATTATATGGATAAATTTAAATATACATACATATTTAAAGTCATTTAAATACATAAATTTTACACATAAAGCGCAATTCCTGTGCATATATGAAAATTGTCGAATAATTTTCGTAGAATTGCTTTTAATAGTTTTACAACACTGCACTCAATATTATTCATTTGCATTGTTATAAGAAAAGCTTCCTGTAATAATTAACGTTTCCGAGAGCCGAGCTTTTATAGTGTTTAATTATAAAGGTATTAATATTTCTTTCTCGCAATTATTAACTAAAATAATTTCATAAATCAATATAGATTGTGCAAGAATCAACGAGACTAAATATAACAAGCCTAAATTTAATAAATTAAAACAAAACAAAAAATAAAAAAAAATATTACACATCGAATAAAATAAATAAAATAAGTAATTGTTAATACAAATATATGCGACAACTCATCGGTTTTTTTTTGAATAAAAAAATGAGAAATTTGGATACGTAAATTGAGAAACTGCATCTGTGTACATTGCTCTGACGAGTAATGAGCAATGGATTAACGACGCTGATCTGTCTCGGCCATGTGGACATGTTCGCATGTTAAATCACGAATCGCGTGGCGGAGCGAGTTATGCTACATGATGGGGGGCGATGTAACGCTGACGTTGAATAGAGAAGCCGATACGGTTTGGCTGACGCCAAACGACGTTGTGTACAGCAATCCCACGTGTAACTATCACGCTTCACGGATATTTACTCCGTGCATACAGGTAAATGTAAAATCAATAGACCGCGTGCTTTCTTTATGGTATACATAGGGCTGTGTGAGGGCCTATCTTCTAGGTCGTAAAACGTGGATCGTTCGATCGCTCCAAACGGGCGGATATTAATAAAAGGGGGGTAATTGCAACTTTGTACATGTGAAAAAGAAGCTGACGATTTCGAGTAAAAAGAATGACGAGTCGATATGATTCGACCGCTTATAACAAGATATATAGCTTCGTCGGTTTAATTTTATATGCGAAAGACGAAAGAATTCGAAACGCGCGAACCGTGTCGCATTGATCCGTGTCCCACGTTTCCTGAAACGCCCCATGTCGAGTTAATTATAATCGAGCGTTTAAACGAAATCCAGATAATCCTTTTTTCAATATCTTTAATATCCGACGTAAAATTACAAGTATAAGCAGCGCTGAGATAGAATAGCGCGTCTTTATTCAACGACGAGCTACTTATTCAGCTAATTTTATCAGAGTGTGCTGACGTACCAGAAACAATCACGATCACACCTATAATACCATCTCTATTTAAATATTAAATAAAGTTGTGTTATAAATTCCTAAATTGAATTTCGATTTTAATTGTAGAGTCGGCAGCGCAAGCGTAATTATATTCGATCTAAAAGTCTGAATTAATGCAATTTACAATTTACCGCGAGTTTTAGAAGTTGTCGTTGTTTACCTTGCAAAGGACCATACGCGCGAGGGGATTCCTCACTGAAATTAGAAAGACTTTTCGAGTATGATGCAATTAAAAGTTTCTGCGAGTACATAGAGGACGCGGATGTAGGTATTACGTTCCGTTCCGCTTCAGTTGAAATAAATGTGGATTCTTCCGAGACCTTCCATGACGATGCACAAATGATAAAAAATAACAAGATAAATGAAATGAAAAAAAATTCTTGAAATGCAAATAATACACGAGATTAACTTGTTAATGAGTGATAAAAATGTAAATTACGTAAAAACTCGAGAACAATCGATCCACATATCATATGTACAACATGTCATTCGAAATGTCATAAGGACTTGGAAAAAATGCATGATTGGCATCGCACTCAAACAAAAGCGGTATTACTGTGAAACCGGAAGATCTAATCTGCCTGTTCGCGAGTTCGTTAAAAAAAATCTCAAATTTTGCATTTTAAACTTTTACTTCATATTGCATCGCGTGGATTATTTCATCTCTCCGTTAATGCTACTTCGTTCCTGTATGTTTCTCTGCATATAAGCCGACATTAAAAAAAGTTCGGTATGTTTCAAGTAATCCATGATAAAACATAACGGCTACACGAAACATACGGAGACACCAAAGTTATTGTATGATAAAATCCTGTGTTCGCGATATTACGTCCGGAATATTTACCTGCTACTCTATCTTCTTGAAAAAATTTTATTATATTTCTTTTTATATAATACATTATCGTAAGACATTTAAGTGTGCTTAATAAACGCTAATCAAACAGTCTGACAATATATTAGCATTGCTCTATGCATTATCAAAATTACAGATAAAGACTTTGCGATACCGAAATTAGAAAGGGAGATTTTTCGAATAAAAAAAAAGATACAAATCAGAGTTTATCTCAGGTTTAAAAAGAGGGATTCAAGAGGAAGAGAAGTGTGCGGACGAAGGAAGGAAGGTCGCCGATAACACTCTATTAGCTGGTGGACCGAGCGAAACCAGGTCACCGATCTCATAAAGAGACTCCGAATTCAAGGACGGCCGATTTTCCGTCGCTGTTTCGCGAATAATCACGAATGCTCCGCGTTCGTCGCAAATAATATCTGTGCTTCCCTCCTTTACCCAGCCATCTGATACGGCCAATATGTAAATCAAGCGCGCGACAGAAATAAGATAATAGTTTGATCCTTAAACGGCAATAGGAACGATTTTGTTTTGCTTGTTGATTATATTGGTTGATAACCATCTTATCTCTTACCAGAGAGAAACGTATCAAGCGAACTCCTTGCACATTCTTAATGGATTAAATTTAATAATAAAGATGTGTTTTATGCAAATTGATATAAATATGTAAATGTACCACTTATGTCGACTACGAGAAGAAGCGAAAATATAAACGAGATGTAAAGGTCAATTTTTTCTTGAAATGATAAAATGATGAAATTTTTGCTCACGTCTTAACTTATCGAATTTTTATGTTATTGCTAAAAACACCATGATAATTCGCGTCACGATCAATAACATGATAAAAATCTAGGTCGTTCATTACATTTAGCATAAACTAAAGTGCGATCGAGAACGAAAGCATTACGTGGAATTAAATAGCGATCCAAACTATGAAAAAACATTGTAAAAATACACATTATATAGAAGTTATCAATTTTATATATTTTTTAATTACAATTTTTTAATTAAAAATTAAAACATTTTATTTGTTTTATTTCTTTTTTTAATATATCTCATATTTTTTTCTCCTTTTTGACTCTATATATAAGGGGTCAATAATATTGAATTTGCAAATGAAATAAACCGATTAAACACTATTTGCAAGTTCTAAATTAAATTAATACATATAAATTCGTATTCGCGTTATATTTTGATGTAGGTTATATATGCATAGCCAAAAGTATGCCAAGGTCTGTTTAAGTAATTGACTTCTTCTAACAACCTTCTTTCGTGATCCATGATGCGGAATACACATTTATGTTGTGAAAAAAAAGAGAAAGATAAAAATGAAAGCGAGACCCATACGAGTGGCGCAGTGCATACTCGCCAAAATCTGGATTCAACATCGTCGAGACGTCGTGTCGCCTTGTGTGTTCGGCGCCAAAACGTCTGTATATATCTCGCTGTTACTACTCGTTATTAAAAATCTGGTAAAAGAGAAAGAGAGAGAGAGAGTGTATGTGAGAGAGATAGAAAGTGAGGAAGTAATTCGTCTAACTAAGAACAATAAGATAGAGAGGGAAGAAACAGAGAGAGCATATAGAGTTGGAAGGTAAGATCGCACCAAGATCAAGCTTGGTAAGCCGTAGTCGTAAATCTGCAGCGCTTTCCCTACGACTACTCTCTCTTTAGTTCCCCCTGCATCTCCTTAATTCCGTTATCTTTGTTTGCTTCACCATGAACTTCAGAGAGAAGAGAGAGAGAGAGAGAGAGAGAGAGAGAGAGACGAGAGAGACAGAGAGATAGAGAGAGTTTGACTCTCGGATTACTTGGTCTCTTTGCGTAGTGCAGACCGAATCGACTTTTGGCCGCCTCCACTAACGGATACCACAGATTGCGCACATCCGTGCATATGTTTCGACCGTACTATGCTCGTGAGCTAGCTTTCTCGTTCTGTTATCGAATTATGTGCAAGATAAATCTTATCAGCTCGATTAACCTTTAAAGTTGCGCAGATAGCGCATTGCCGCAGTTTTCGTTACTTCTTTTTTTTCAAACAAATATTACGTCTCATCAATGTCTATAAATTAAATGTATAGTGTTTGTTACTTAATGTTTCTTATTACACTGTTTTATTTTCCTATTTACGTCCTGCTAGAATCGCTAACTATACGAAGTAATAAGGTAGCTTTTAGATAGTACATCATAATTGAAGCTTTCTAGCAGTTAAATTCGCGTTAATATTCATTATGATGCTGTGACATAGTCATCGATTTCCGGTTTGGTATGTCGCGCACTTCAATTCGATTGCATTCCGGCAGAAATGCATTCGGCGCACGTTTCGCTGTCATTAGAACGTAAATTCAACGCCAATAGCTGATTACACGAGCATCACACGCCAATCGGGACTTTACGTTCCCCAATTGGGTTCGTTTTGTCGTCGATATCGATCCGATGACCGGAAATCACGCTCGAATTCATTCTGATTAACGACGTCATCTTGTTCTTTGACTTTCTCGCACAAAAGTCCACGAGATGTGACCGTAATTCGACCGACGATGTATCGTATGATCGATCGTGTAATAGTGCTACGCGACGCGACGCGAAAAGAGTAGAATTAACTCCTTTCCAGTGTTAATCTAAAGAGTTACTTTCCGTGCCATTAATCTACTAATCTAATGTATGAAAAAGGAAATAATTCCTGCTCTTTATTCTCTTTCTATTTTATTCATCAAAAATTGCTGAAGTGATATTTGTTATTGTATATTCGATTGTGTAATCTATTTATTGAATCTTTTATTGTACTATATTATTAACCATAAAATATCACAAATGCATACATTTGTGATATTTTATGACATATATATATATATATATATATATTTTTTTTTTTTAAATGTAATGAATATCAAACATATTCTTGAAAATTATATAAAATTGCGTTTTTTTCAAATTAAAACATTATATGTGTAACAACGTCAATATATTTATTTTATATATGTATATCACATTAATTTGAATATTGAACCAGCTAGCAATATTATATAGTAAAGAAGAATGATTAAATATAAAATTTAAATAATTTTTAATTGAGTTAAATAAAAATAAAAATATAATAAAATATAAAATTAAGATATATCGTTAATAATGAATTAATAATTACATTATAGATGTAGTGATAATTTTCGATCTCGTTTTAAATATAAAATTGCAATATTGATATTTGTGTAACAGTATGACAATTAGTTATCAGTAGTTTGTATTTTAGCTAGTTTCCGTCAATCAAAAATACTCCATAAAAGTACTCTATAAAATGTAAATATTCCAGTTGAAATATTCGGCAACAATCAATCGCGTACGGGATTAAATAAGCATTGCGATATCACGTCGAGTTTAATCAAACATGAAATTCGAGACAGAGAACAGCAGAATAAAAAAAAATGGTATTGTTAAATTTTTCATGTAACATGAGCGCGACTGCAAGAAAACGCGTATTCGAAAAATAACAAGTATTGACTGTCATTATTAAACCAGTATTAAGTAGCTATCAATAAATAGAAGCTTAAACCAAAATTTACTTGAAATAAAAATTTGACATTTCAGAAAGAGATATATTGTAAAACTCGATCTATGAATTACAATTATGGACTTTTCTTTATAAATTATCAAAAAAATATTCTAATTTTTTCAAGATTTTATTTTTTAATCAATTATATTTATTGCAAGAATTTTACAATATATATGAGTTTGTAAAATGGATAAATTATACATTAACGAAGACAGAATAAGATAGATATTTCATAATCAATTTATGTATTCGCATGTGATATGTGTTACAGACAAAAGTCACAACGTGCATAAATTTAATAATTGTAATTAATAATGTGGCATCGTAAACTTAAAAATTGACATTTCATCACTGCAAGTTTTATCTCGCTCAACGAGCTAAATAGAAAGGTTTAATGAAATTAGCTTTGAACTTTTCTAATTAACTCGCCCCACGGCGAGTTCTCTATATCCGAGAGACGCAGTTAAATATTCCGCAGATTTTAATAGACTTATTATAAACGGTTAACGAGCCGCGATAGTTATCGCGTTGGTAATTTTTTTCACACCACAGGATATATATAACAAAGATATCTTTAAAAATTATTAAGCATCAGCGATGTCGTTTCTTAATAATATTAAATTAAGACAAAATCAAACATCTAAATCAAACGAGTGAAGTTGTATAATTGAATGAAAATGTTACCTCTTTTTATCCTAATATTTATTTAAATCGGAGATTAAGTTTTGCAGAACATTCATGTTTAAAACTACCTGATAAAAGATATTAAAATATTGTGAATCTATTTAAATAAAATTTTTGATAAAAATAGTACTGTATATAAAGAAAAGGTAAATAAAAATATGTGCAGTGGTTAATATATTATAAAATACATCTAAATATTTAAGATTACAGTTTGCAAAATAATTGCAAAAGTTATTAATTTATTTCAAAATTTATTCCAAAATTATATTCTGAAGATAAATTTATAAAAGCAGTTCAGATGGATATAAGATAACTTCTAAAATCAACAGAAAGCATCCACCGAGATATCCTATGATCAAAAGAAGAAAAGCCGGCGCAAGATCATCAATTTCTATGTTTTCTTGAGTCTGATCTCTTTCATCATTCGTTGTGCAATTACTTCTGTTAATTTCCGCCATGTTTGACCAGAATTCAGTGAGACCAGTTTGAACGAACATTTGGATCTTGAAGTTAAAATCATTCAAGTACGGGAATCCTAGCCAAGTGGCGAGGGCTAATGGATAACTGCCCACAAATTCTTTCATAATGTGAGCGTTTTTTAAATTGGACATTCGACGTATATCAGTCAGATTTAACATTACAAGAAGAGCTAGACTATCATTATTTCCATGAATAATATCAAAAAACAGGTCAATGTAATCATGTTGCTTGAAAACGATAAAATTCTCGCGAATCCTTCGTTCGACGTTGCCCTCGTCGATTTTATCAGGCGTCTCCAATAATTGAGCTAATCGCTGAGTCCCACCTATCTGCAGCCCCGATGTAACTAGCTCTTCCATGGATTCGATCTGAATGTCCGTCGCACTCTGGAGCTGATCGGCCAGCGATCCTAAATAAAGTTGCGAAAGAAAAAAACCGAACAGGCTGTAAGATATGAATAGAATTTTGCTGGAAGTTTTATTCGGACGTTGAGTGGCTACGCCGAGAATCAGGGCCGCCATGTCCAGGAATGTGATGTCATGAATTAAGAAATGCTTCACAAGTCCGCTGATAAATAACGTGCAGATTATAGCGTACCAAACTTTTGAGCTAAACGGCGTTATTAAACCACGAAAAGAAACATTCGCTTTCATCGGTATTAACCACGCGATCTGCACCATACCGTAAGAAGTCATGTACTCTATCTTTCGATTGGGATCCCACAAGAGACCACCAAATATTAAATCGTCAGTTGCGTTGATAAGTCTCAAATACAGTTCTCTATCGATCGTGGAGTTTTGCTGCCACCGAATCTCATCTCTGTCCAATATAAGTTGCATGTTACTCGCGATCGCTTCCACCATCCAGCCCTCAACACCGCCGAATCTCAAATTATTCTTGTCGTTGACAAAATAGGCGTACGGAAAATTGTCGAACATTGCCGCGTTAACGACGGAGGCATTGAATGGCGACGATTTTGTTTGGAAATGTTGCCATTGAAACGCAGTATTACTCTCCTGTTGACATTTACCTAAAAGCGTCGGCGGGGCCAGCGTATACAATTCGTTGATCCGAATCGGAATGCTACCGGCCACCAAAATTGATTCTTCAATCACTGCCAATATTGCGAGTTTGAACATGGATTGCAATGACAGTCGTTCTATTATCATGTTGGTCTCTATCAAGAAACTCTCTTCGTCGACCAATAGATTCGTTAGCATTATTACAAAACTGCATTCGTGTTTGCAGTAGTCGACGAAGCAGGAATTGTTTGTCTCCAGAGTGGTTGCGCTATTCGATAGAACGACGATGTTCTCAGAAATATCGTATGTTTCTATTACTTCCATCGACTCGTTTGCTAATGCATAGACAGTGCTGCTTACGGGTAATTCGTTCATCAACGGTTTTATGAGAGCGGAAGCGTCTTCTAACATGTCCGAGATCAAGAGTGACATTCGATCCGAATATTCGAAATATTCCATGATGAATGGCACTGCACAAGACACTAATCTCGATGATTTTTCACGCTGATTATGGTTTTTCACGAGATTTTTCCAGAGAATGCGTCCATCGGTCTCATGTTGTGTCACAATAGCAAAAGCAGCTGATATTAATATAATGAAAAAGAAGAAACAACGTGGATAATCTTGCCGATAAAAATTAAATAAACTCGGTCGAATATTTATATTCATTTTGCCTCACACCTGTTTATACTATTACATCCGAATGTTACATTTATTATATCCCAACTGCTTCAACGATCCCAAACAGTCACGTTAAGTACTACTCGATCCGTGAAAATAAAGTGTATAATCTAAATGGATAATATCAAAGAAAGAATGTAAATATCATATAATGTTATTCGTGCACTCGCTAGAAAGATGATCTGTTTGTCGTGCATTTAACGTTGCACATTGTTTGTTCATATTACGGTATAAATGCATCGTAATGGTATGTGTAAACACGCGAATGCGTGGTCATTTTTAAAATTATTCAAAATTATTGGCGACAAAAGCCTACATTAAACTCATTATGTACTAAAAAAGGCATTAATGGATTAAAAGAAATTTTGGATCTTTTGATGATATCGAAATATATGGCAATGCACACGCAAGCATCGATCGCATGTCACATTTTTATTGCTGTGGCCTTTATGCAAATATTTGTACACACGATACTTGAAAAAAATGTAACAGTCATGCAATCTTAGCGTTAAAATGTATTTGGCGTCACGATACTGCGTCGTGACATTGCACAAACGCACTTGTCTACGCCGCAATAGCGCAAATCTGATGAAAATGTCAATTTATAAGGCTAGGTCCTTCGACCATATAATAAATACAAAAAAGAGCAGTTTTTATATAAATAACTTATATGAATACAATTTTCTCATTTTGCAATCTCGTAATTTGATTAAGGTTGCAATACATTTTACATTTTTTCCTGTTTCAGAGCTTTTGTCAGAATTTTATGCATCTGTTGTCCCAGACGAATGAAACGACGGTATCAACCGGCATTTAGATGTAAACCAAGTCAGGTAAGTTTAATATTATTTATCGTTTTAGTTATATATATTTTTAACTTAAAGCAGTATTATTCTAGAATTGGTTTGTTAAATTGTCCCAAAACTAATTCCCGATTTCGATTTACCTTTGCTTAACATTAGAACAATTTTGCCTAAATTCATCTAGCGTTGATGCCCCTCATAAACTATTCCCGCATTAAAATTTGTTAGAAATGAAGACATTTTATTTTCAAATAAAGAGATGAACGAATTAATAATGAAAAGATAGGAATATAAATATCTTGATTTATATAAAGAATATGAAGAATGAATATCTCGTAAAGAATTTAAAATATTAAAAAAACTTTCTAGAAATATAAATTCAATATAAAAAAGTAAAGATATCAAAACCGATGTAAGTTTCTTAAATCAATATACTCTATTTTTCAACAATTAAATTCTGCGCATTTCGTTAAAACTAACATAGTCCGCTTTCTTATTCATTAGATAATATTATCAAAATTATGATACAATTAGATAAGGAAAATAGTTTTCAATAAATATTAATGGTATGAATTTTTATTTTAAAATTTAGATAGGGATAAAAACTCCAAAACAAAATGATACGTCGGTTTTGGCGTCTTTCTTCGCCCGTCTTTACTAAGGCGCCTTTATCGAACAAATGTGCACATCGAAAACTAAAAGCTTTCTATGCTGCAATCAATATACTATTTTATCGAGAGAAAATAGATTTAGGAAAAAAAAACAATTTTATATTTTGATTCAATAACGGTAATAAATATTAGAATAAATAATTTATATTTCACGTGAGAAATGTGGTAGATAATATTCTGATAAATAAATCACACTGATAAGTATTCTTTTCATATAATTTTATAGAATATTAATCAATATTTTTTTAATTAAAATCAGATATATATATATATATATATATATATATATATATATATATATATGTTATCTGACCATCGTCTTCAACTGTATAAATAAACGCTAATATAATACCAAATATATCACATTTAATGAGCCTACATGGAAATGTTAGAAGGAGCGATACGTCACACATGTCACAATTTTATCAACAGTGTGGGCAGGGCTACTAACGCTAACTATTAGGGTACGGGAACGTATTTATATTGCTTTTTTCAGACATTCACATCCGGACGGTACTACTCCGCGTATTCGCTCCATCATGTACGAAGAAGTCGAGAAAATTCCGGCGAGCAAACCTACATTTAACAACGGAATATCATCGCGAGCTGGCTGTCGATCATTGATCGTGAAATTCCTCGTGACCTTTCTTTTATTTACGCCATTATTTTCTTCGTCCCATATTAATATATGAGTAAAGCAGTTTATATAGTTTAGCAAATTATTTTCCAAGAGTAATCCCTTGTAATTGTTCCAAGACTTTTATTACGTATCAGAGATCGACGAACATCTCAACGAATATCGACGCATTCCCGTAGAATATAAATTCTCGGTATGTTTATTAGTAAATGTGTGACACCCTATATTGATCTTAAACACGCACTTGCACATAGCACTGTGTTATCTAATAGAATGCACTTTCTTGATATTTGTCTCAGTATCCAACTTTGGATGTAGTTTTCTTAAAAGACTTGACAGGTTTTCTTTCGAATTTTTCTGATTAAAAAACTTGTAAAATTTTATGTGTGTATATTTGAGCAAACAGTTTCTAAAATATTTGCGCGCGATTATAAAGTGCACTTGAAAAATGTAAAAGCTTTGATAATCCAAAGACCATGAATAATTCTGCAAGTGTTAGAAATGGCACGCGCACATCACATAGTGCTTTCACTTCCGGATTCGGCATTCTAGAGTCAGATCGTATCGTATTTAAATATACTTGCACGTGCTAGTTATTAGTTTTAAGACGGCAAACATTATCATCGAATAAAAAATGGAAAATATTATGTCACATATTATTTCGTTTTTACGTTAATATAATATTTCATTTTATAAATTAGATCACAACTATTAAATCAACAATTAAATAAGTTCATCTCTAAACTAATAATATCATGATGTGCAATTATGTAGACGCGATGTGTCTGATTCGTGAATGTCGAATTTGAAAATAAAGGCATTATTAATGTTTACTGTATTTCTGTGACGTGCACGCGTCCTATATTCGGCTTTTCGTTCTTTTAGTCTGAAGATATTTCCAGATTTTTATATTATTTTCATGTTAATCTTGCGAATTTCTCGAACAAATATGTGTCTATCAAATATTTTAGTTACACTTTTTTTAATGTCAAAAAGAAAAGAATTCAAATATAAAAACATAGAAAAAAAAATAAAATTATTAAAATTTTTGGCATTTTGATAGAATATTTTTATCGTAAACATATAATACATTCCTCTCTAAATATATTTTTATGTAAAGGAATTTATTGCGGTGATTGATACATCGAATTATTCTGTATATATGTATATATAATTACACAAAATTCTGAAATATCAAAAGATAAAATATTTATATACATATATGTATACCTATATAAAATATATATCATAAAATAAAAAATAAAATTAATATCTGCATATGAAAAATCTAAAATAAACGCGCAATCTCGTGCTATTTCCAATAACCTACATAGATACTTTTAGTTTCATGACCGTGTTACCGAAACGAGAGCCGCGCGATCATACGGATATCGGACCATAAAAGTGAGAAAAGACAAAAATAAGGAAGATTATTTGACCTTGGGGAATTCAACACCCGATAGGACAAACGAGAAAACTTCGATGCGGTCACTATCCCGTGAGACGTTGGATGATGTGAGACAAAGAGCGAGCGTATACGAAACTTCTCTTCACACGTACCTCGTCTTTTCTCTGCGAATTATCGCACGAACTATACGTGATACCTTGAAAAGTCCTTCGTCTTTCAAATCAACGCTAAATGTAGAAAGAAATTCTTTTTCGAAAATCATTAATTCAAAAGCACATCGATCATCGGCGATCAGATACGCATTGTCTTTTTGGAAAAAGATGAAAAACTCCGCAAACAATGGAGTAAGCAAACACGCGTTCAATTCACTTTGTTCGCTCAGTAAACTATAGATTCGAAATCTCGACTTGTTCGCATTTGCGGTGACATTTTTTTCCACGGCCGGCCGAATATTGAATTATTTGCTTTACGGCCAGGAGTTATCGAATATAGAAGCTATCGAAAAACCGTTTAACCACCTCTCCCTATTCAGCAACTATGGGTTGTCTCTTCGACCGCACTGTTCGCACGATTCGGCGCAAAGCTATGTGTACATGGGGTATGAGCGTGAAGTGTAAAGCTTGTCGCTGATCCGTGGCGACCTTTAAAGGGAAGGCAACAAGCGCGGAGAGACAGGTTGCGTTTGAAGCGAAACCGATGGATCGATTGTCCCTAGGACGACGACAGGAGAGCTTGGTTGTGTCGCGTCGGATAAACGTACTTGACTACTTTCTGAAGGAAAGCGAACACAGCTTAGCGAAAAGACGTTTTAAGAAAATGCTTAGCGTGCAGCGCGATCTAATAAACGCTTTCGAAATTCGCGATAAGAGGAAAGCAGAACCAAGACGGAATTCATGTTGTCATGTACATATTTAAAAGATAAATTAAATCATTAAATCATTACAAACAAACTGTCTTTCGACTGTCAATTGATAATTCTTATAAGAACATAGTTGTAATCAGATTGCACATAATACAAAATTTATATACATAAGTTTCCGACTGCGCTAATTAGAAGCATTAAAGCACCGAAATCTATTTTTGTCCAAAAAAAGATATACGTATATGTTTCGGAAATGAATTGATAGGAAGCACAGCAACTTTATACATGTGAATATTTGATGCTACTTTGATATTTGTTCTCCAATGAATTTCCTAATAAATCATCGAAAAAATGAATGCAAAGAAACAATGATGAAAATTATTCTGTTTCAGTATATTTCCGGAATGGCAGCGGGAGGGCAAGCAAGTAATGTAAGCTACAGTAGTGTCAGCCAAAGCAGCGATGGCGGCATATACGCGACCGGAAGTGGACCTTCCAGCGGCGGTATGTGACGACACACGCCGGCCCGATCGGGGCCACGTCGAGAGCGAGCAATTCGATTCCGTGACGCGTGATTAGTGACACAGTCACGATCAAGAAGAATCGATCTCCATGAAACTGGAAGAATTGTTCCGTGCAGTTTACTTTTATTGCATCTGAAAAATGTCAAGAGAACGTGCTTTGAGAAAGTGCTTTGGACGGTAATACAATTTATTGTTGCAAGACGTATCTGCGAAATAAAAAAAATAGAACCGTGTTATGGATAGAGACGAGAGACTTGATAAATGAATATAAACCGCGAAATATCTGAAGCCGCGAAACACGTACTTAACAGACTTTCGCAACGGTTTTCAAATTGCCACGATTTAACTTAAAACGAGTCGTTGGACTCTCGCTTCTGTAATCGTATTAACGAGCGAACAAATGTACTCCGTCATTGCGCGCGAACTCTTGAAGAGAAGTAAAAACTGTGTCGTAAAATCTAGCTGTACGACCTGGTCAGCTCCAGGCGTAATGTGCCACAAGAGACTAAACTTGTAGATGTTCTATTCATGTTACGGAAAAAGATCTTATAGGAAAAAAGTATTTCCTTGTGAAATTTTAACACACACGATCTCTCGTCTAAAACGCTGGTTGTATCAATTATTATCGATCAATGCTACCTCTGATTAGTCAAACTTTCTGAAACTGTTAATAGAAATTATAATGTGTAAAAGTGGCAGTCATATACACACACAATATAAAAAATTACACAATTGCTAGTCCAAGATTACCTAATACTGTCGATGCAACCAAAGATAAATATTGTACGAGACCAAACTATAGATATCTGTGACAAAATTAGGTAAACTCGCAATATTACTCGACAGGACTTATTCAATGGCAAGATACACGCATATAGATATGAATAGATGTAAATAACAAACAAAAGCAATATATACAAGTATAAAAAAAAGTCTCTAACAAGACAAAAAACGAATACTTGGGCAATATATATATTTCACATTCTTTGAATATAACGTACGTATGAAGATAGTTTTGTAAAAAACCAGTCATGTATATTGAATAGCCTTAAAGGATAGAAAAAGAGTTAGAGGAAAAAATATTTTGTTTTTTTATCTTGAAATATAAGTGAAAAATAAGAATAAGTTGCGCTTTATGTAGTTGTATATTACGAGGGTGTTTAGACGAACGCAGCTTCCGCGTTCTTTCTTAAAAAGAAAAAAATCAACTCAACTTTATGAGAAATACTCTTATATTTTTTATAATAATATATATTATATATTAAATAATTTTATTTTTATAGTAGACTTTGATGCGCTCTTACTATAGCTTGTTACGCTTGATTATATGTCAATCAATGTATTATACAGTTCTCTTTTCAATAATTCAATAATTTTTTTGATAATTCTTCCGACAATAAAAATATTAATAAAAAATTTTAATACAAAATAAACAGATAATAAATAAAACAAGAAAAAATCGACAAAATAGAAATATTCTGGTCATCTCTTATTATATAATAAAAATTAATCATCTTTATATATAATCAATAGTAAATATTCATATAAATAATCCAATTTTTATATATAATAATATATATTGTATTAAATATAGATTTTTTATAAAAACAAAAAATAATCTATAATTTTCAATTATAATTTGAAATTTTCTTGTTTAAATTAATTTTTTTAATGTGTATTATAACACATTTTCTTTTCTTAGATTTTTTTATCATTGAAAATAGCTTATTTGTCTTTCGTCTATATAGTAGTGACTATGGGACCAAAAGACACTGACCTCTAACTTTTTTTTTCATCATTAATACTTTTCGAAATACGTGACTTGTTTATTCTTTCCATAAGATGTTCTGTAGATACAAAATATCTCGGCAAAAACTCTGCACATGAAGCAATGTTCATATTTACATGTGAGCACTTCATGGTTATATTAACACGATTATGAGACTCTAACAAATACATTTAACATCTTAGCGAGACATGCTGCATTATGTTTACGTTATAGTAAATCAAATCTGATATAATCATAAGCGATCGATCGGAAAGTTTTAGACAGATATAAATGACAAAGTTTCGCGATGTAATATTGCGATGTAAGATCGTTATCCTTAACAAAAAATATAAAAAACAGGTATTATTTGTTTTTTTATTATCTTATAATGCGACTATTCCAATGACTGATATATGTTATATAGATTTAATGACGTGATTTTAATACAACTCTATTGTACGTATTGTTTTGTCATTTTGCTTCATTTATGCAGCTGTCAACTGAAAATAGTTACATTAATTCGACAAAGTATAACGAGAATATATATATTTAAAGTTTTCTTTTCCGTTTCTAATTTTTTTATATATCTGTCGTTTTTTAAATAGTTTAATTTGAACATTCTGTTTTGCGTGCAAGTCCGCATTTTTCAACAGAAAACTAATTAAATTCTAGTGATGAAATAAAACATCATAAAACGGCAAATTGAAAGAAATAAAGTTAAAAAATGACAAAATGACACAATCGCTCTTGTACATATTTTTTCAGGGAACTAGAGAACTAAACTTTTTCTCTTTGGCTGTAAATATTATTTAAGTATCATAAATATGACAAATTAGAAAAGATATTACTTTTTAATGAATATATATAGTCTTGTATGTACAGTGGTCTACAGAGTCTATCTAGAATCTTTAAGACTGCACTTCTCAGTACTTCCAAAAACTGTGTCTATATATAACATATTGCCCTTTATAATAAAATAATAATAACTATACAAAAATTTTATCACTGTATTTTTTTATTTTTATCTCCCATTTGCTCCTATTCCAAACGACAATTTATTTAAAATCTATGAAAATAACATTTTTTTATTTGAAATATATTATTAAATTGTGAACGAAATCTTATTCATAATTCGAAATGTTAAAAACAATAATAGCTACATTGTAATAATAATATTTGTTATTAAATGTGGAGAACTTTGATTATATTTTCAAAAATTTATATAAGAAATTCAGAAATTTTTTATCAGAGAACTTTTAATATTTAATAAAATTCATTTTACATGAGATTATATGATCGTCACAAATTTCTAAAAATTTTTATACATTTAATTTGATATTTTCATCACGCTGAGAATTTTTCAGAGTTTGCATTAAAAAGTTGCATTAAATGTGATCGATTAGATAAAAAAGAGCAAGATTTTTTCATTCTAATTTATCGATTCTATGTAATTTCGATTTATGTGTAATCTTCTACAGATTTTAATATTAATAAATTGAAAAATTAATTTTATTTTAGATAATTTTATTGTTGTTATTTTGTAGAAAGAATACGATATCTTAAATTAGCACTCTTGTTGCTATTACCTCTCATCAGAGACTTCTCTCTGCTCTCATTGCTGTGGTTGTAGAAACTATACAATACGTTAAGTTGGCAAGCTTGTGTTGACGTAGATAACTTTCCCTATGGACATCAATATATAGAGCCTTCTGCGAGAGGTAATAATAGCGGAAAGGGAGAAGGGGTAGTACCTAACTTCGGTAAATTTCTACACAAACATGAACGTATATGAGCCAAAGTTATTGAACGTAATCGAAATAAAGAACCAATTTTACCAAGTCCTTTTAGATAAAATTGTTAAAATTAGCAGAATAACTAATAGACTCAATCTAACAATAAATAGAGATTAGGAATACCAAGCATTTATGTCCATTTTAGGCAACCAGACTTATAATTGGCCTTTACCGAAGTCAGTGCGTAGTCTTGGCATAAGCACAGATTAATAGACAGATCGCTAAAGGCCTGTCTAAAGAGGAGACCGTCATTTTGCCCCTTACCGACACACTTGCCCCTGATTCGAGTCCAGGCTAATAAAATCCTTTAATTTTACCAAAAAACTTTGCTTCTAGTACGAGTTCAGACTAAAATCCTTTGATTATACGTGTAAAATAAAAAGATTTTAGCCTGAACTCGTATCAAACGCAAAGTTTTTTGGTAAAGTCAAAAGATTTTATTAGCCTGGACTCGAACCAGAGGCAAAGTGTGTCGGTAAGAGGCAAAAATGACGGTCTCTTCTTTAGACAGGCCTTTGGCGATCTGTCTATTAATCTGTGCTATAATACTTAAATATATATCTGTTTATTTTCAGTATATTACACTAGTGTAGAAAGTTCAGCTATCAAGAACAAGCCTAAGAATATATTCTTATGTCTATGTTTTATTGGCTCCCTTATATTACCTCCCTTATCCTCGTAGACATGCAACTAATGCTACATCTATATATTGTTATGTCTATGATTTTCTCTGTTAGGTTAAGTTAGATTAAGTTAGGATATGTTAGGTTTTAATACATATATATGCAGTCGTGCACATATTCACACGATGGTTTGCTCTGTTATTGTACAAAAGTGATTACTTAGCGTCAATTGATACAGAACGGTGAATTCCGTAGTTAATCTTTCTCCGTTGAATGTATATTCATAAATGACACAATGTTGCAAAATTACAGAATAGAAATGAGAACGAGCGACAGGTATACTCGTCATAAGTGTATTGCTTAAGTTTCGTAATGACGTATCCCGGGTTAGTACTCCTTGTCGGAGTTGGAATTGGACTAGCGACGTTTCTGTATTATGTGTTCAACGAAAATCGCGAGGAGGGACAGCAACATTCGTATTCTAGAAATGGGAGACCGCCGGAGGATCGCTCTTATGAAGATCGCTCTTGGTCGATATCGTCGCATAAGGCTGAAAAGTATCCATCTTAATATACATGCATATATGTATTGTTATTTGTTCGAGATTATTATCTAACTTTTTCTTGATATTTTCACTTTCCACTTCTTGCATGTACGATTTTCCCGTATATATTTTTTGACAATTAAATCCATAAATAGCAAAGATTATCTTTTACCTATTAGTAGAATAGTGAGATTACGATATTGGAAAAAGTGTGTTACACTAAGCATTCTTCTACAAAACATATTTATTTCTAGCACGACATTCAATAGAAGGAGTTCATCAAACTCTATAAAAAGTAAAGATGGGATAGAACCAACAACGAGTAAAGATGATATAAGCTATTGTTCAATCTGCCAATATGCATTAATTGAACCGGATGTAACGCAATTGCGTCCTTGTAAACATAATTTTCACAAAGATTGCATTAATGAATGGAGAAAATATGATCCTGGGGTAAAATTTGAAAAATGCATTAACTTACGTATAATCCTCTGAATTATACGAAGATATAATTGTGTTCTTTATGTTACAGGCTTCTTGTCCTAATTGCAGACGAAAGATCAGACAAGCAATATAAATTCGTCATAAACGTACAATCAGCTTGTACAGCATTGCGTGATAAATATTAAAGATCGATTCAGACAGATCCGTGCCGTATCCGTTTCGTATCCGTACGTCCGATATCCGCGACGATATTTTCAACTTTTTGCATTTGCATTAGTCCGCGACATCAAAAACACATTTAAGAAGGGACAGTGAGAAATTAATTGAATTAGTACGATAATACGTGGAACTGTATGATCTGTCACGCCCAAAATATCTGCACAATACGGATACGACACGAATATGTCTGAATCGATCATAATTGTTATATAGTTACTTTTTTCTTTATTATAATTATATATGTTCGAAAGTAAAACAAAATATCTCGATTTATATCTCATCAAGGTATTTTCAAAATTAATAGATTACATATTTCGTAGAAAAAAAGAAAAAAGACTTTTCTGTATAAAGATTATACATAGTCATGTATATAAGTGACTCCTGGTTGTTAGATTTTTCATTTATAAATAAAGTAAATCATCATCCGCCCAATTCTCGAGCAAGTAAATCTAAAATTTTATCTGATGTAAAAATAAAACATTTTACAGCTCTTAAGGTTTGTTAAAAATCAATTGCTCTTATTCTTATTTCGCTCGAGCTGAATGAACATTTTTGATATAGTTCTTTATAAATGAATCTGCGCTTTAATTATAAGTAAGTGATCAGTATCACAACTTGTAATTTATTTACATATACGTATAACCGGGAGTCTTTTGTATATTCAGGTTTTTTGTTAATATTTACAATTTACATTTAAATTTATATATTATTTGACTGTTATATAAGGAACAAACGATTACAGAAATAAGCAAAAATTGAGATATTATTCTAAGTTTTCCCGGGATTAAATTGTGAGCTGAAAAGTTCTTTATTGCTTTACCTTCAACGAATAATTGAAGATCTTCAATCTTAAGTTATGATATCTCGATAATTATTTGTTGATGTAAAAAATGATAAAAGATTTTTCGGCTCGATATAGTATCAGGGATACGGTGTTAGAATAATGCTCCAACTTTTGTTTACGTTCTGTATATAAATGCACAAATATAGAGTTTATTACATAAGCAAAAGATTTGTGATTGCAAAATCTGAGTACTTTCTAACAAAAACCTATTCAAATGTAATTTTTTTTCTATTGTTATTGTCTTCAATTTAATAGAATAACCTCGTTGCATTAAATTGCGATTTAATGAGATTATCTATGCTTAGCTTGAGGATTGATGGTACAAATTTAAATTACATTTACTTAGAAATCAGTAAATTATACCTGCAAAATAATAATACAGTAGTTGGCAGCGTTTTATGTGTAAGAAATTAATAGGTTGATTTATATTTAATAAAATCATAAAAAATAGATCATGTATAAAATATATTGTACCAATATCTGACAGTGTTGTGTATGAATAATTAATATAATAATACGCTACTCTCTCTTTCTTTCTATTGTTCCGCTTTCCTTTTCGTTCACCATATATTAATTTGGGGACTTCTCTTTCGTAATATCTTTCAAGCACCGTCCGGTTACGAATGCGCGTATGTACACACACCTCCTGCATTACGAGGCGGTACATACGTGCGACTGCAACGTTTGTCTAGTGAACGGCGCGGAAAGTCGCGCGAGGTAGTCGCGCTTTAGTCAGTTATCCAGAAAGTGCTTCGATGTCGAAGAGAACTATCTGTCTCTCTTACGTTATCGCTACTTCGTATAGGTACCTAATTGCAAATCAGGAATGCGGAAGTAAGTGAAGAAGCACGCGGATCGGTGATTATGGATCACGTTTTTTGTATCAAAATGCATCGATGGAACGAACATGACTGGATTATTATTTGTTATACTGATCTTGACTCGTGCGGTCGCGGGATTGCGGCTACCCACGGCCAATGAAAAACGAGGTATGTATCTCGTTAAATGAGATATATGTATGTATATATCGATATTAGCTTCGAATATATTGAAATGAAAACTTAAACAAATCTTTTGTCTTTATTTTGTTTTTCTGTGCGTGTATATAACAAATAATATATTATATTTATTTCATGGGTTGTCATACACGAGTTGCACGCAATTTATTCGAAATTTAAATGTACTTTAATTGGCTGAATTCGCGTGATTATCAATATATGAAGCAATATCGATCCTTGATCGATTTAAATTATTCGCTTTTCATAATTATTATTGATTATGATTAGTATCATTAGTACTACGCGATCAATTAAAAAAATGTTATTTAAATTTATATAAACAGCGGAAAATATAAAAAATAGAATTGATTTTATTTCTTACGAATAATATAAATAATTCATTTAACAATAATATAACAATCGGTATGAGATGTCAAATATAATTTAAATTGACTACAGTGTGTTAAGATTGCACAACACAATCATAAAATATAGCGCGGGATTATAAAACGCGTTCTTACTCAGTCGTTAAAAGACAATGTAATAGTGAAATTTACTTAAGATTTTAAAAACGAGTGTTATAAAGTCGATACAAGAGGTTGCTATACCTTCTGCAAAACATTCGCATTTGTTCCGCGTATGCGAATAAACAGGTTATTGTACAGAGTTCAATATTGGTTGTCCCATTTCTGGACCGGTTCCACCATGGAAAGAAGCAAATGAATTAAAGCGGATTAAAACGGGTTGCGCATTAATTTTCGATTTCGCTCGTATATTAATATTTTTAAAGATTGACAAATCAAGGACGCATATTAGAATTATTTAATATATATCTATATATTAATTAATCGATTAAATAATTTTGCTAATTACCATGTGTTTGAGTACCACGGCGATCTGATATAATTTTTAAGCAACTGATTCCAATAAGAGATTGCATGAATGAAAGGCTTTTCTATTTCCGTAAAGCAGTTAACCGCAAATCGTCTGAGTCTGCCATTAAATGCGATTTTATTGTATGTTTCGTATACGTGCGTAATCTTTTCGCTCCTTTCATCGTTGTATAACAAGATGAGTTATACAAGAACACACGAGCAAGACTGTTTAACCGTCGAGACTCGTATAATGGGGTTACGAGAATCTCGCGTTGACCTACGTGCCCGTTTCTCGTGATATAGCGAAGTTGAGTATGTAGTCTCGAACCGAGAGTTAGAGGTGCACTCGATCTTCGGCACACATGTATGTACACATACATATGTACATGTGCGTACATATACGTGCACGTGGTTGAATTGTATTGCGTATTGCATTGAACGTACTCTCTGATAAATAATTAGTGAAAATCTATAAGAGACACTTTACAGATCAGTTACCTTTATTTTAAGATTATTTTTGTACAAGGTGGAATCTTGAGTAATTTACACAGTGGACTCCTTCTGCATGACAGATATATTATAATATTAGATATTTATTTAATAATTAAATATTTTCTTGCTTCAGTGAAAAGACTGATACGTGATTGGGCGCCCTTAGTATGGCTCGCGCCAGGAGAACGATTCTTACCCCTTGGTGTAACCGATTTTCTTGATAACGTACAGTCGGATCAATATTATCTTCGTACTAGACTAGACATAGGTAAATATTCAAACTAGTTGTGACATACGGAATAAATAAATAAAAAACTGCTCAAACATATATGGCATAAAAGTATATATGTATGAAAAAAGAGTATAACAAACTTGTCAATGTTTCGAATTTTTTTTAATAGAATCCTTATTGAAGAATCAATCGTCTTTTTTATATGGTCGAAAACCCGCTGGAACTGTGCCCGTCTACGCTCTTGTGAAAAACTGCATTTCCAGAGACGCGTGGCTACGCATAACAAAAGCTAAGCGGACGTCAAAAAGCGAACAAAATACTTTAACGCTACCGGATTCTGGGCTCTTGTCTCAACGACAATCTAACGATGTCAATGATCTAAGAACACATATTTTACTGCAAGAACAAATGCGACAGGTACAAGATACGAAGATAAGTGCAATTTTTTTACACATTGCCTTTTTAAAAAAATATTAAATATTGAATCCCAAATATTAAATTATTTATTTTATAAAGAAAATTCTAAGAAAGTTGTTATATCGTTATATTTTTAAATATAAAATTCCTCTTTTTTTTCACGGAAAACTAATCTCAGATAAAAACAGAGTCGCGATTCGAAAAAGTCAGAGAGAAGAATGAACGTCAAAAAGTGCACTTTCACGTGACCTATTGGATGTTCTACCCATTTAGCGAGGGAAAGATGATCTGTGTACTAGATCTTGGATTTTTCGGTAGCTGGCCGATACCTACCATGGGTGGAGTGTGCATAGGTACGCTCAAAGAATACGGCAGTCACATAGGAGATTGGGAACATATGAGTCTTTATTTTAAGGTAAATTATTTTTTTCAAGATTTAAATAAATTTTTTTGCTCGTTTGTTTCTACTGTCTAATTAAAACAAAATCGATCTATTATGTAATATATACATAACTATCTCAAAAAATTAAAAATATAATACTCGTGGCAGATTGTACTAATGTAAGATAAAAAATTGTAAGTATTGAACATCTTATCTGTTTTGTATGTTTAGAATTATTTATACATATATAGTGTGTATCAATCATCATAAAAATTGTATTCTAGTAAAACAAATAATCGGAGCGATATTGAAAAAGAAATTTAAAGATATTTGTTCGTAATTATTTATCTAGATTCATACGTATACACATATATACACAGATATCACCATTTTTAGGATACCGAATATCCTCTGGCGATGTATGTATCGGCCCATGACACTGGTGCATTTTATCGATATGATCCACGAAATGGCACTTTTGTCTACCAAAGTCAAGAGACAAGAAAGAGTCTCTTCCAGAAGCCGACATTTCCTGAAAAAGTTTACACCGCCAATGGCTCGCATCCGATTTTATTCAGTGCGCGCGGCTCTCATGGGCTCTGGACAGCTCCGGGGAAGCACAAATTCGTTCGTGTACCGCGTCTGTACGATGAAAGTGGATTTGGGACTGCCTGGCCGACGTGGAAAAAATTGGAATTGCTTTTGGAAGAGGACAACGAGCCTTTACCAGGCTGGATGACTTTTAAAGGCAAATGGGGTAATCCCAGTAGTAAATGTCATCCATTAGCGAAATTAGGTTTTAATATTTGTGAATTTGTAGACGGCCCAACCGGAATCCCTATGAAAAAATTCAATTTTCGATGTTAAATTTTGCTGTCATTGAAGACACATAATGAATAAGAACTGACCATTTATGTTGGTTCTATAAACGCGAATACGATAATGTATGTATGTAAATGATAAATTGGTGAAACTTTGACGAGGATGCCAAATGTTATTCATAAGACAATTTTATCGATTTGCTTTATTCGAATAATTAATCTTTATTTATTTATTTATTTTTTTTACGAATACATAATTAAAAAATGATTAGTGCTTTGTCGAATGTGTTCATTTAGCGATAGTTTCGTTGAAAATTGACTTCGATATAAAACGATAACAAAATACAATTTGTTCATTATAATCTGTGGGTATATAATTAGCAGATAATAAGTGGTGTCATAGCTTTTGCAAGCATTTCGCTCGTGATATATGCTTAAAATAGTAACAGTAGGCAAATCTTCAGTAGGCATCTTATCTTGCGAAACATTTCATTAATCTTTCACGATTGTATTATCCATTCTGTTTTAGAATGTTATGTAATTTCACCGATTATTCATTTGTTCGAACTTTTGGTACTCGACAAAGCTCGACGCTTCTATCATCGAGAACTCAACAGCAAGCAGATTTATTCAGAAATCTCGTCTTCGTCTACTCCTTCTATAGCAATACTGCGTATGCCATTTCTTAACAATGGTGTGCCCTTATCCTTCGCCAAAACACGTGCGTTTAATACAATTTTCAATGGTGTACCTGATGAACAACACATTATTTGGACTTCCTCCTTTAATATTTTTTCTTTATATGCCAGCAATTCTATCTTCAATCTGATAAAGGAATCAATTATTTTAATATTTTATACATCTAAATTAAATTTAAAAAAAAGATAATAATCGAGCATAAAAAATACAATATATTAATTACGTGCAAACAAAAGTTAGGCGCGGATTTATATCGCAAATAATTTATTTATGATAATATAATTTATATATATTAGATTTAGGATCATTTTTAGCATTACTAGCGATAAAGTATATTTTACCATTTCACGTATAATTAATTATTATAGTTTTGAAATTTTATCTTACAAAAAAAATATAAATTTTTATACCTTAAACCGTCTTTTTCTTGTGCAAGATCGACAATGTGACAGTTTGGATTGTGATTTTCTGCAATTATTGCCGGAGGCGGAACTTCCACCTCCTCTTTTTTTTCTTTTTCCGCATGAGTACATGTGTTCCATGGTATTGAGAATTCTATATGATATCTGCAATAAAGAAAGATTTATATATATCTATATTTAATGTTATATATATTTACATATTCATATATTTACTGTGTTCTTTTATTTATATATTTTTATATATATCGATAAAAATATAATAAAAAAACTTTTAAAATCATATGATAAAAATTATTTAAATCTTAGTATCTGAGATAATAATTGTCAAACTGAAAAATAGTATTAACTATATAATTTCTAAGTTTTATGCAGTAAATAACCTATGATATAATTGTAAGAATCCTAAGTGAGCATCAATGTGGCCATGTCTCTGAGGTTGTATCATAATATTGTTATCCTTTCCAAGTCCACTTCCACCACTAAAATGTACATGGTGCTCTGTATAAGAGTATAAGAGTTAATTAAGTTAACAATAACACAAGAAGAATTTTTTAATTAAATGCAAATGTATATGTAAAAAAAGACACACAACTTTTGAATAAATTAAGGATTTATGACACTTTTTATAAATTAACTTTTTTAAAATTAAGCACTAACAATAAAGACAAATTGTTTAATTTCAAATAAACTTTACCAAATTAATTAATTTTAAATAGACTTTACTTTCACAAAGAAATAAATTTAACTTAAATGGAGAGATGTATAATTAAAGATTGGAAAATTATAAAAAATTGTTAGAAATAATAAACTTTAATATTTGTATGGAGAAAAATGTATTCAAAATTGACGTAAAATATTTTGAATCACTTTCAATACGGATTAACACAAGAAAAAATAACTATATACTTATGTAACACGGAAAAAGAATAACATTATATTAATCAATATAAATTTGTTTTAACATTTTATACATTATTACAGAATAAAAAATTATATTCTTATTTTAAAGAGTAAGATAATCTTTAGATTTTATTAAAAAATAAGTTTAAAAAATTTTTATTATTGAAACTTGTCAGTTAAGAATCTATAAATTTTATAATTAATAACCATTAATTTTAGAATAATTTTTACAGTTATTGAAAGCCTTTTATATCTCTATAATTAATAATAATGAATAAACAGAAATCCACTATTTTTTTGCTAATAATATACAATTTAGTCTTTAAACATATGCACTACAATTTGTTTAAAAAAAAAATATATTGTTATAAACGTGCTTTTAAATACATGTTTATATATTGCAAAAGATTGGAAGTAAATTAAGATAATATTTTATTACGAGAAAAAAACAATTAAATACCTTTATCTCCCATGTTTCATAAAATAGTCTAGCAAATTTGATGGTGGTACTTTCATACTGATCGCGTAAACTAAGTTAATGAAATCAATTCATATTCATAATAACTCTCAACTTAATGTTAGGTTCAAGTTTAGGTTAGACTTTGATGAGCTGGTTGGAGGCCGAACTTCGAATCGATTATGGTGTAAATACAAAATTCCGATGGAAACATATGGTGGTGACCTCTCGCAAAAAGTCATGAATTACAGATTTATATTTTCGTGCAAATAAATAAATAAAAGAGAAAATCACAATCTAATTATAATATTCCTAATCAGCAGCATCGTTTTCTTTTGATTATAAAGTTATTTTTGGAAAAATGGTCCAAATAAAAATCGAAAACTGACAAACAACATACAGTTAACTGCAGACCAGGTGTAACTACAATCGAATTCATATTGAATTTATTATAAATTTTTAGGAGCCAAACTGCAAAATTAACTGCAAAATCGAAAACTCTAACAGATAATTTTTACAATACAAAAAGATTTGCAAAATAGTATAAATTTTTCGAGACGTAAGATGAAAAGTGCGAATATCACTATGTCTGTATCTAAAGTGCAGCTAACGCTAAAATATATAGGGAATTCCATGGTAGCGAAACTGAGCGCGTAACGAAAAGAGGTTTGTGTTGTCCAGATGCCCAGTATCAGCTCGAAGTTTGTCCATTTCTTCTGCCAACCCTACCAACTCTAAGAAATAAATTCTCAGTGATGTGACTAAATCACAGACAAAACATTATATAGATTGTGTGTAAGGAAGTTAAACATAGCTAATAATATAAATAATAATATTTAGCTAGCTACAGATATTTCTTTTTCTTTTTCTTTCTTTTTATTATAAATAAAAAAATAATTTATTTTATTGTAAAAAGGAATGAATGCTGGTTTTCTCTTTGGTTTTTTATTTAAACTGTTTCCAGTAGCAATAATTTTAATATCAAATCAATAATAGTCAATGTTTTGCAAATTTTCGCATAATAAATTATATGTATTTATGCAATTCTCGAATATTTTATTGTCGATAATTTAATCACTATTTATCATTTTTTTAATGCATGAAATTAAAATTTATGTCAAAGAAACGTGTTTTTTCTCCATTGTTGGTAAAATATTACTTTTTATTGAAAAACAAATGGATAAATAATAATTTTAATGTAATTACGAACGAGTACATTGACGAATAATGAGATACATGTGCCTTTATCGTTGTTATTAATAAAATAAAATACTAATAATAATAGAGCATTTAATAAAAAATAAATTTTTAATGTATATTATTTAATTTCATAATTTGATTTTAAAGAATGTATCATTAAAATATTGTCAAAATCATTGCTTTCAGAAGCAATTAAGGAAACTTGGATTTAGTTGAATTTCTAAGTTTTCAACGCGGCATAGAAAGGTGCCATAAGAATCAACGAAAGGTAACATTCTGCAACGAAGATCCTTTTTGATTCTTCAGCAGTACGAATCATGTACATTTACTAACGTATACCTGAAAGATAACAATAAAGACTCTTCGATTAAAAGACAATCTTTGTATCCAAGAATATAGAAAGAATGCGAAGAGTTTACATTGGCATTTAATAGATATTATTTATAACAAAAAAAATATAATTTATAAATTCTGTTCAGTAAATATTTAACGCGATATAATCTTTGTATAATAAAAAAATATGTTTAAAAAAAAAAGTAAATTATTCAATATTTAGCATTTCTAATTTTAAATAAATCGGATTAATGCGTGCAATTTATATAATAATTAATACACTTTTTAAGCTAAATATTTTCTGTCTCTTATCTTGAATTTCAAATTAACTTTAATGATTACAAGTTAAATTTTATATGCGTTAACATCGCATATAAATAAATCTAACATTTCTTTAGAAGATATAATTTATATTAATTTTGATCTAACCTATATATATGCGTAAATTAATTTAATATTATCATTTTACACCAAATTTTATTCCAAGAAAATATTTTTTTTTATTTGTAACGTTTTAATTACAGTTTATTAAATAATACGCAAAAAAATAAATATTGCGTGAGTAGCAAATATTTTGTAATATTCCAGACTCACTATAAAACTATCTCTTATCTTATTCTTATATATCCAATCAAAATTAAGTACATAATAGAAATTCGGCGAATCAAAATTATGTACATATTGTAAATTCAAGAATTAAAATTATGTACATAATCTAAATACAGCGAATTAAAATTATGTACATAATAGAAATTTGGCGAATCAAAGTTATGAACATAACAATTTGACGAATTAAAATTATGTACATAATAGATATTCGCCGAATTTTGGGGTTCCTTTATCGGGGTTCGTTTGTCGGGTTTGATACAAATAAAGAAATAAAATTTTTACAAGAATCTTTTGTGATTAAATATCTACGCTTTCATTAGACTCGCGCGAGACTCTATACCCCATATATCCAACACGCTGCGCGGTTCGCGCGAGACTGATTCTCATGCGAGGTATCGCGAGCGCGGGCCCGATGGTCACATGACCAGTGGTCACGTGACCACGAGTCATGTGACCACAAGTCATGTGACCACTGATCATGTGACCATCGGGCCCGCGCTCGCGATACCTCGCATGAGAATCAGTCTCGCGCGAGCCGCGCAGCGTGATGGATATATGGGATGTATTAATTTGAAAGAATAGAAAGAATAGAAAGAATAGAAAAAGAGTTGCAAAATATCCTAAGTATTTTTATGGGTCAGAACTCTTTGGATAATTAATGTACATGCCCAAGACTGTACAAGAATTATTTTACAATAAACAAAATGCTCGAAATACGTTCAGCATATCATATATTCGAAAATACAAGGTTTTTGCGTTAACTATATATTTAGTGGCAGCCTACAGTCGGAACTATGCTATAAAACTATAGAACTCGTCGAGTCCTATAGTCCTATATAAAATTTCATTGTTTAAATTTGAAAAACGTGAAATGATATGCTAATGTTTAAACCAAGTTAAAGCGACCATGCGAAGCGACAGAACTAAATAACCAAGCAAAACGCGCGCTTGTATTATTTAGTTCTGGGAGTCGATTGTGTAACTTTTTCTAAAATAAAAATGTGAAAAGTGAAAATTTCTTCCAATCACACATCGATTTCATTTTAAAATTAATGCGTGATTTTGCAAATTTTTCACTTTTCACGTATTTACTTTCGAAAAAGTTACACAATCGATCCCCTATACTATAGGGCATAGAAAAAGTAATCGGTACCGTGAAGTGCGTATTCGAAGTCGATGTGTATCGCACGTATTGTTGTCTTTTTCCGCGTATGTAATTGGCGATCGATTCGGGGCAATCCTGATCACGGTTATTATGATAATGTCAGTTCGTACCGTGACGGTGATGAAAGGTTAAATGTATTGTGATAGAAAATATATATGGCGTGAGATTAGTTTGAGTAGTGTTTGATTCATTTTTGTATGAAATTTTAATAGGCACGTTATTGACATTCTTGTTGCTTTTCTACGATGCTAATCTTATTGATTGTCTCAATTCGCGTTGTGCGTTGTATTCATATCATCGAACAACTGTCATCAACGAGAATTAATAGTTTGCTAGCTGTCAAAATAAAATTAAATAACATTACAATTATTAAAAAGTTAAATCATACACTCACATTATGTAAAACCGGATAATAGCGCGCGTGAAACGTGGGGTTGTGTTGTTTAGTATATAATCAATACTATAGGGTAAAAAATATTGCATTTTGCTTCTATGGTAACTCAAATATTTGGATTTAGTAATTTGATAAATAGATATATTCGTATCTCTAGCAACTAATTTTCGTTGATCTTCACACTTTCAATCACATATTTCTATAGATCAGTCAATAAATCAAAATAGCTAAACAAATTATTTAAAAATGTAAATCAAAGCCACACGCACATCTGCCCATTTTATATATTATCTATTCCTGTAAATGGACCGTAAATGGCATACTTATATAAAGTTGTTACATTCAAAAAATTAAATCTCATTTGGTGGAAAAATCAGTATGTTCTTTTGTGATAAAATTGAAGGCAAGAGACAATGTTCTAATATCGCTTACTGTGTATGTGGTTAGTATATAAATCAAATAACTAAAATTATAAGAATAATTCGGAAATGCACGATATATATACACACATTTTTGCTGTCTTAAAAATTTTATAAAGATTCATAATTTTTATTTCATACAAAATAATTATTACTGTGATAAAAATAAGTTTATAATTAATAAATGTATTACATCTTATTTAAAACGTGCATATAAAAATATTCATAATTATATATAATATATATAAATAACGTTTAAAATCTTTTATAAGTTTATTCTCTAAATAAATATATTAATTTTTATAATACAAAAAGTACTCTTTAAGTACTTAGAATCATTAAAAAAGCGTAATCCAAATTCCTTTCTTCGTTTTCTGAAAAACTTTTAATCTGTAATCTCGAGAATGTGATTATCTTAGTCTACAATATTGTCACACAGGAAACAGTCGTGCATCAGGCAGAGGCAGTTGTTCAGAGGCGCGCATACCTTCGTGTAATTGCCAAAGTAACGTAGGATGCCTGGATCGCAGTGATTACGGTGGTTTGCGATCCATCGGGACAGCTGCGACGGGCACGTGTCCTGGGCCCTGTCAATGTGTCGAAGAGGAAATTTGGAACAGTAACGTGCCGCCTAAACCGAATTGCCGATGGTTGAATAACTTCGCCGAGTTGCGTCGTCAATGGAGCGATTACGGCCGCCAGCAGGCCTGCAAATGCTGCAACTGCAGTCCATCGTGGTAGGGTTAAATAACGATGATTAAGCAATACGGTTAAGCAGTGTAGCAGGAAAAAACTAATGTCGCTTTTTGTGTGCAATTAATGTTATAGTAAAAAGTACAAATGATACATAAATAATCTTCTCTATTATACATATATATAAAACATTTGCTTTCATTTTCAAATAATAGCAATTTTGCTTTTATTGGAGAAAATCGATATTTTGTCTTAAAATATTAAAATTCAGTACTCTTGACCGCTTTACGTAAATATTTGCATATTTAAGAAAAATGTTAGAATAAATTAGTTAAATTTAAAAGAAATTGATATTTGAGAGATATTGATATCTGGTTTTACTCAAATAAAAACCATTCATTTGTAATAACATTGTTTTTATAATAAATTTTTAAAAAAATTTGCAAAAAGATATGTACGTAAATAAGAAGTGAATATTTTTTCTTAAAATATTGAAAGAATTATTACACTTTCTTATTTTGCGTACCATATTGCATTTTGTTCGCAGCAGAACTGTCGCTCCAGGCCGACTGTGTCTTTCACCAACGCCGCCGTGTTCCGGTACCATTTTAACTGCGTCAGACTGTCAGGTACACTGAAGCAGATTCCTTGCCAAGAATAGAAAGCGCTTGAGATTCCTCTGAGGTAGTAAATTTATATGTATTTACTTTTTGAGGAAAGATAAAATTAAATTCCAGCGCAAAGAGAGGAATGGACTTTCTTAATTTTGCAATTCAGTTTGAAATTATTATATTCAATCAATTTTTGTTTTTTTAACTCTTCGAAAGAATCAATTTTAACATTTCTTAACACTATTTTTTATGAATTTTCTATATAAAAGTGAGAGAAAACAAATATATGTAGATACCTGAACAAAATTATAATAAATCATACATATCTTGAATTTGAATAACAAAGGAATATGGCTAAGATTAATATAAAATAAATATAGTATAGTTAATATTTATGACATTTTCTATATGTTTTAATTAAAATTGATAGGAAGACTGCGGGGATTTAATTCAGGCACGATTAGTTTGTGCGCTCAATTTATGTAAATTAGCATCGTATAGTTGGAAGTAAGCTAGCGTTCAAAGTTTCTTAATTATTCAGTAAAATCCGTAAAGTTGACTAAACTAATTTGTATACAGACTTTAATGGCTTAGTAATTGAAATGTTTAAATCTTTAAAATGCGATTTAAACTTTCATGCGCGGATCTTACACGTTTTTTCGTAATATGATTTAAAGAATACTATTACATCACGTTATGATTTTTTTATAAGCGGATAATATTTTAAGTGGTAATGAAATGCTCTGAAGAATAAATCATGTCCTCTCTGTAACTGTCGTCAGATTTTTCTATTTTCACCAGAAATGCTGTGGAAGCCGTCGTTTAGCGGGTGGAGCAAGCAAATCGGAAATGACATCGATAAATAAATCGTCGTCGCTTGAACGACCCTTGAAACGGGAAGCAGGCGGTGGTTGTCAATGTTGTGCTTATCCATCGACCTGCTGTAATTCCTTTAATGCGGATTGCTCGTCGACCGCTTCGTCTTGCTGCTCTTCGCAGTGCAGATATTCTCAAGTTTCGTCGCGACAGGCACCCGACTGTCAATCCTGCACCTCACCTACTGCTCAGAAATCTATTTGGAAGAAGCGCAACTGCTACCAATGTAACACGAATTCCTGCCCGTGTCAGCCGATGTCACGCGGCTGCAATTGTCCGCCGCCGGTCCAGATTGACGTGCGCGCTGCTCGCGAGTGTTCCTGTTCCATTTCTACCTCCAGCCCGGAATGTGCGTGTCCACCCAGTGAGCAAAGGTTCCCAAAAACGACGATCAAGTGTCCCAACGTGCGTCTTTGCTGTCCCTTCTCTCAATTACCACCAGCTCCCAAATGTCATTGCGCGCGATGTCAATCGTGCCCGCCACCAATCTGCCATCCATGCACGACTACCAAGTGCCGGGGATCAATTCCGAAGGATTTTTGTTACTCTCGCTTACCTACATCGTATCTACCTTGTCGACCAGCATCAGCCGCTTCTTCTCATCCCCCGACACCTCGTAAAAAATTAACCTTCTGCACCGAGCGCGGTAGTCGACCTTCTTCGCCCTGTACAGGAACAGGTCAGTCTTTGCACGGTTGCATAGCTGATGATAGAAACTCGGAAAATAACATCTATAAAGAGCGACATGACATTGAGGAACGAGAGAAATACGATATAAAAAATTGCGACGATCCGTGCGATTGTTGCTGCGCGACAGAATTTGAAAATAGATCTAATCACGTTGACGAAAGTTGCGATCTAATACTGGGCGAGAGATCTGAATTAGAGAGTTTAACGTCAAATATGCTTATTAATTCGTCGAAAACCACAAAGCCTCCGAAGTCTGTCGATCCGGATTTGCTTGACATGCCGGAATAAGAAAAAGGTAAATTCGTTCTCGAAAATGCATCAAAGCGCTTTGAAAGATATACGATCGAAAAATCGTGCCCATACTTTGCCCATCTACTTTGTTCTATTCGCTAACAATGCAAGATCCGATTGTTACACATTTCGTGAGGAACATTTACTCGTTGGTAAAAACATCTCTGGGAATTCTGCACTCGCGAGATTCTCGAATCACATGAAATCCTGCTCGGATAAAACGGCAGAATTTATCGACCCCTAATAAATTATTGTCTCGGCAAAGCGTTGCTTTTCGCGATGTTCCGCGGGCACATGTCGGATCGTTGGTGGTTTCAGTAAGCACTCCGACAATACCAACATACGGAATCGACAGACGACGCAGGGGTGGTAAATCCTTGAAAGAAGACACGATAGATACCAGCAATTTATTTCGAGGAAGTCACGTAATATGATTGAACGTTTAAAAAATGCCGTTTCATATAATTGATTACTATCTGCTTCACTTAGATCAAGCAGAGAGATGCTGTTAGTACTTCGTAAATCAAAGTCACTTTCTTTTGTTGCTTTTTATTGTGATCGGAAATGATACAAATAGAAGAATTAAAAATAGAATATCTGTAAAATTTATGATTGATGAGAACAAAATTAGCTTCAAGTATTTTTATCAAATCTAAATTTTAAATAATAATTAAAGATAAGCTTATATTTTTATAAAAATAATCTCTTTTTCTACAGATCCCTCGTTTAAAAATATTTTTTTATAGAACAAAAATATATATATGTATATATTAATCTTGAATTTTAATATTTTATATTTCATTAATAATCGTTTATGTATATTAAAAATGACATTAGATATTATATATTTAAATATTATTATATATATTTAAAACTATAAACTTTTAATTTTAGTTTTATAGATTTTAAAATCTTATACGCATCAAATGCACAGAAAGAAAATAAATTTTAATGCATGTTTAAAAATTTTAATGATTTAAAAATATCTACTCAAACTGAGAATATTTATTGTCAGTTTGTTTTATCAGTTTGCTAGATGCGTTTAAAGACTCATATATATTTGCATCCCTGTGTGACCAAAGGACCAATGTGACACGTGGTGTGGTGCGTCCAGTAGGTGTCAGCTGTACATCGGAGGCAACATCAAGCACATTAACACTAATACATGAAGAGAAAAATAAACATACGAAAGAGAGTGCATACTGCGACGTGTTTTCTAATCTTGGTGGTATTGGCTACTCAACTCTCGTGCCGAGTCCGCTAGCATTAATATCCTTCGTGCTACTGATCTTTATAGCTGTCACCTGGTCCTCTGGTTCAGCCTTTTATCACCGTTTCTTATTACGCAAGAAAATCTGCTGGAAATATTTATAGTTTATTAACTAAAATAAAATTCAAAAACATTTAAATTTACTAAAATGCAGGAATTCGCAGGTATAGCATTCCATCAATTTAATAAATCTGTAAATTACTTATTTGCATTGTTTTGAATCAAAAATTTGTAAAATATTTATAAAAAATAAAGAATTTATTAATAAAATACATATTAAAGTGTATGCATAAAATTTTTAATCATGAAAATAAGAAATATATTATTACATGTTACTATATTTAGTATTTATTATCAATTTTCAAAAATTAGAAAATATAAGTAATGTTAAATATCGCGAAAGCATAAATGATGATTATCTCTCTTGACAGAATTTTTTGTAATAAAGTGCAGTAGTGTGCATACGCCTCATCCTCCCCCTTCATATCGGGAGTGACATGGCGAATGATACTCGCGCTTTCTGTCAGTAGGCGAAATGACGCGCCGGAGAGCGTTTCCGTTCGCGTTTTTGTCAACGTTGGTGTTCTGCGTGACATTCCAACAAGTCACTTCCGCTGAAACTATTGAAAATAAGAGTGTCACTGAAAAAGAACAACCATCAGGTTGCATCGAATGCGGATATTACAGGTACAAGTGTTTACATAGATAAAACTAAATACGATCAAATTATAGTTAATTATTACATTACATATAGTTAAATATAATTTCTACAGAAAAATTCAGTATTTTATGTATGGAAAGAGAGAGAGAGAGAGAGAGAGAGAGAGAGAGAGAGAGAGAGAGAGAGAGAGAGAGAGAGAGCATTTTATGTATAGAGTTTTGCATTAAATAGGTGTCCAGAAAACCCTGGAAAATGTTTGTTAGGATCGGTACCTGATCCTTGCGGATGTTGTCCAGATGGTTTGTGCGCCCGTTTCCTTGGCGAACCATGCTGGAATGCAAGTATCTCTCTTTTATCTCCAAAGCACCGTAATGATGGATACTGCGCAAGAAATTATCTGTGCGAGTTGCGATCTGACCTACAAGAAGAGGTAATGTATGTAGTTCGTTTCCGGAATTAAAAGAGACCTTGAAACACATTACAATACATTTTACTTTATTACTTAATATACTCAAAATTTAATATGTTGAAAACTCATTCTAATTATGATAATTTTATTAGTTTTTATTGGTGTTATAGATTTTTGAATACCTCTAATTTTTATATTATATTAAAATTATTATTTATTATATATTTAATCATATTTTACATACGTGTAATTTATACATCATATCAATATAATTCACAAGTGAAAGCCAATTTCTTTAAAAATCAAATATGTAAATTGCGCGTAATTCTTACGTGCGATATTTATCTTTGTAAGTGATAAATTTACTTTTCTAATTCAGTTCAAGAGATCACGTTCTAGATCTCTCAATTTCAACGAGTTCAGTAATGTGATATATCCCGTTATCTGGGTTAGTTTAACACAAAAAGAAATCGCGCGTTATTGCGTAAAATTAGTGCGTTCGTCCGCACAATGTATAAGGCAGACCCATATATTATCCACCTACTGCGACAATGAGTTATGCTATCAATCAGATCTATCGTAGTTTTAAGATCGTAGTCAGTGACTTACGGTCGCTGACCCGCTCTGCTGGCCTTTTCGCATCTAATTTCATCTTGTCGTGCATCGTGGGTCGTAATTGCATTGTAAGCACATATGTATATGCGCATACACACGTCATGCAATCAAACAATCAGGCAAGCCGTTTATGATAGAGATGCGGGCTGAATAAGAATAATTTTGCTATATAATCTTAAGAAAGAGATATTTAAATAGTCAAATCTTTAAATAGTTGAGAACACACTTTTTAAAATTTCTTATCAATTGTATAAATATATTAATTCTTTAATAGATTATTTATAGAAACTAATTATAAAGTCAACTAATTTGCTGAAATATCTAAACGGTCATTAATTATTCATAATTGAGCAAACTAACAACAACTATCTGCAACGATTATTAGCGTGAAGCGTTACGTTTGTGCCAGTAATTTCGTAAAGACGTTCAGGATACAGCGAAGACGTGCCGACACACAAAGTACCACATTACCAACTTTAAACGATTTAAGTTCTCCAAAGTAGAGAATGAGAGAATTATTTTGTTCTCGAATATATCCGATGATAGTCACTGTCTCTGAGATGAAGCAAAAGTAATAACAGTATCAAAATATAGAGAAAGCGATAACAATTATTTGAGCGTGATGGTATAGAGTATAGAGGGAAAAGCGTCGTGTAATTAGTTATAATAGAATTGAACTTTAACGCAGGACACTCCGGAGGCAACCTGCGTCTGCATGGAACAAAGTCCGGCCTGTGGTAGCAATAATGAAACTTACGCGACACCCTGCGCATTGCACGAAGAGGCGATGAAACTTAGAAACTCATCTTCCTTGAGGTTGCAGCATCTCGGTCCTTGCGAAAGTAGACCTTGGATTCTGTCAACTCTGGAAGACGTTGCATCGTCCTTCGGTCAACGTGTCGCATTAAATTGCGAGGCAAAAGGATTTCCAGTGCCGGATATCTTTTGGGAATTTCACTCAGCTGACGGGAGAAGAATACTGAAATTGCCTGGTAAAGTAATACAATATATCAAAGCATTGAGATAAGATATTTTTGCGAATTCTCGTGCTTTAACGAATCTCAATAATAAATGTACGATCATTTTACGAAGAAAAATGTGACTGGAGAAATGATGTTAAAAAAATTGATTTCAGATATTTTATTAATACTTAATAATTTTTCTTATTGTTTATGCACTTTGCAAACTATACAAATACGTGATACGTAGATGTTCAGTAAACAACTATTTTATTCACAGAAAAGGAACATGAGGCGACGATAAATACGAGCGACGGTCCAGAGCCGCTTATGCGAACATCTTGGATGCAATTGACTCGGCTGAACAAAGAACATATTGGAATATATCATTGCATTGCTAACAATTCCATAGGTGAAGCAAGTGCGAGTTCATTCGTGTCTATATCATGAGATATATTATGCATTTCGTGAAATAATTTCTTATGTTACTATTGCGCAGGAATATGATATGGTAAGAAAAACAAATTCTAGTATTCAGAAAGTACATATTTTTCATAAACAGACATATAAAGAATTTTTCACAATTATAATAGATTACAATTCTTAGTTTGAATATATTTTATTAAAATAAATGGCAGTCGATTATTTTAATGTAAAGAAAACTTACGATAATTAAAATACTAGCAAGATTTTTATTTCGTACGCCCTATACATTATTTTAAGGTTCTTCAATGTTCTTGCCATATTCTTTGCTATATATTCTTGCCACATAACTCTGATATCATATTAATATCTTTCCGGATATGCTTGTAACATGAAGTTTTGTTTTTTCGTCATTGTTACCAATTGCTTTGCGGCAGCGGAGGTGGACTGTAAAATATAATTTCAGCTACAAATACGATTCAATATCAATAATTTATATATGCTTTATACACGCTTTTGATATATTATACATCAATACAATGTGTGATTTAAATATAAAATATGAAAATATTATATATATCAAAGTTATATATACTTACTCTGGCGTTCGCCATATTCTATCGTCATCTATATCGAGACTTTCCCTAACAAGAAAATATATTTTTATTTTTATATAAATTTTATAAATATATTTTTGTTAATTTGTTTTTATTTTTATAGTTTAAGTCTTTTAAATTTGGATCAAATAATTTATAATCAGATATACAAACGTTCTTGTTGGCGGGCTAACAATTTCCATAAAATGAGATCGAGCTGGTTTCTTATAAAATAGTGATAAAATATGAGCTATTGGTGTGCTGGCAATCATGACAACTGCACATACGAATGTAGCGAACCAGAAACCATTCTAAATATTAATCATATAGAAAACCTTGTTGAACATGTGCTTAATATTAATTTATTATTATTTGTTGTTAGATATTAAAATTAATGGATTTATTTTTAACTAATAGTTAATGATTTTATTTTACATACGAAAGGACTTAAGATGTGACCACACAATAAGTGTCGGATTCCTTCTAAAACGTCCCACAAAGGTCGACATTTGGATATTCTCGTGCTCATTTCTGTAAGAACGTGCATCCGCCATTGATCTAGATAATTGGCCATTCGGTCCACGTACGCTTTTGTTTTCTGAAAATGTGAACGATAAATCTTAATAATTTAACTTTAACGTAAAATATTTTCTATCTTATGGATAAGAAATAGCCACAATTTTATATTTTTTTCAATCTACAAGAATATTTTTAGCATGTCGCCCACCAATTGAGCTATCTTTTCTCCCTGATGATCTATATAATATTGTATAGTTCGGAGATGAGAGATTGATTGATTAACTTGACGCCAAAGAGGTTGCACTTTCAACTCCAGAACTGCAAGGCGATACACCAAATCGTCCTGGAATTTCATTAGAGGCTTCACCCGTCTCAATGTCAGATCGCGCATTGTTATCCCAATGCTTTGCAGTTCTCTGGCAATACTTCTATCTTGCAGCTGACGGGATATATTGTCTAACTGATTGGACATTGTAGTCAAATCTTTATTTAAAATTGGTCCTTGAATCTGCAAATATAGAAAATATTAAAAAAATATTTGGAAATATAATATTTATATCGAAAGTCGCTTTTAAAATAACCTTAAATTTTGTTTAATTAATATAAATTATTGTAAGCTGAAAAAGCATTTGTTAATTATATTTGAATGACGTATACATATACACACAAAATAAGAATATTATATTAAAATAAATATACACGTGTATGGTATGTGCATTGTGTACTTGATGAATTGACGATGCTATATACATGCAACTAAATACATTTTAATTAGTGGCGGCATTGAAGCATAATCATGGAAACAACTCGCTATGAAATTCGTGTCGTTTATCATACTAGCCATCTAGTATTACGTAGTTACGCAGCTACGTAATTTGTTACTTTCCTTTAATATGCTAGTAAATTTTTCAAGAAAATTCTTCAAGCTATGTTGAGTAATCCCGAGCTTTAATCAAATTGATAAAGTCAAGTAAAATTTTCGTTTATATTATATTATATAAAAATTATATGTTTTGCTTTTACTTGAGAAAATAGAAAAATAAAAATCGGAATAATATGAGCAGAGTAATCCATAAGTAAACGAAAATACCATTATTCTGTGCGCCGTGAGATTTAAACCACAAGCATATAATAAATCCTGAAGCCGCAGATTTGGCGTTAATATTCGGAGACCTTTCAAATCAACTTTGATATTTGAAATTGCTTTAGACAAGCTTATCCATGTCCAATGCGCAGTCAAATGTTCTAGTTTTATCGTGTTTTCCAACCCGAAGGCGGGATAAACTGCCTCGTTGTTTCGACATTTTCTAAAAATAAATATAACTGTTGAAAACTGTAACACACATTGTGCAAAGCTCCACTCATTGTATTTGTCTTTTTAGCCTGAGGGGTACTTAATCGAAAAATATAGATAAAAATATGATATTATGCGTTGACTGTGTGTATAGTCTATAGTTAAACTATGTAGGATTATATTGAATGTGAATGACGTAATTTTATTAAAATACGTGACATTTTGTTTTTGATAAAAATACGAAAAGATTATTTTATTTTTAATTACGACTGAAATATGACAAAATTATAATATTAATTTAAAAATCTGTACTTTTAATATATAACTTATTGTAGCAGTATTATATGCATCGTAATTTTCAGTTTAACCTACTTCTTTTGAGATAAGATCTGTGTAAAACTTGATTGGCATGATTACAGCAACATAGCTTACTCAAAGAGCTCCTTGAGGGAAACTTCGAGCCTTCTTCCCAAAAACGCTCGGGTTTCCAGCACGGCTTCCATAATACGATAGTCAGGATCATAGAGAGGCCGACATATTAACATTTCCGTATGGCTGGCGATGCCCAGAGTGACGATAAATACTGACCATAATGTAATTGAGACAAAACAACTCATAACCACTCCACTGAAATTCGATAGATAGCCTGATGATTTGTTTTATTAAATTTATAGGATTACGTCTGATTAAACTGTTTGGAATAGCATATTAATAGATTAAATAATAATCTACAGTATAAATATTTATTTATATTGTAATATTATTAATTTTGTAATATTGATGTTTATTGTGTAATAAGATATTTAGAGTAATTTTTATTTTTTAATAACACATTATTTTAATAAATTTCAATTAAGATTTATATTATATATTGTGTATATATATATATATATATATATATATATATATATATATGCATATATAATATATAAATGTGTATTTTAAGACAACATTTAGCAATATTTAAAACAAATCTAATATGTAAATTTAATAAAATGAATCAAATAATTAATCAGATAATTAACTCCTCTATTTAATAATTGTTCCATTAAGTACAATAATAGAATTATTACACAAATAGGATAAAATCTCGTTTAGTATAACATTTTATAACAAAAAAAGAATAAGAATTTCATAATATATTAAAGTAATGCTTACCACAAAAGGATTGGACGTACTTTATTTTTGGACCGCCAGCGATAACACAAAGCTCCAATGAGTAACAAAAAGACCGGTAGAATACATAAAACACTAGCTGCACATTGCATAAGCAAACCAGAAACATACATTATTCTTCGTTAGTTATTTGCTCATAAGTGAAGTATAGTATATATTGTTATTCTTTTAAGTAAAATTACAATGTATCACAGATAGCAATGACTTTAATTATAAGTATAGCACAGTGTACACGCAATAAAATTTTACTATTTATAAACCGAATCAATTAATAGTAGTGACAAATTTTTGATCAAACTTTATTATTATAATTATAAGTAAAACATAAGATAAAGGAGAGCAAATAAATATGAACAGTTTCACTAAAGATCAATGAAATAATTATGTCACTGTTTTAATCAATGATATGTACATACATATATTTTACTTCGTCGTTAGAAAAATATTAAAATTATTAATTATTTTAAAGATTAAAATTAAAAATATTATTGTAATATATATTGAAAAAATGCATACAGAAAATGTCTATAAAAATGTGTCTAACTTTTGGATAACAGAGTTATCCTCTTAAATTGTTTATTTCACATGCAGAGATGCTTTCTATGATCTCCGCGATCGTTTTCCAAATACCAGGATGAACTCGGTGAATAACGGAAAAATATTCAATGTAATCTTGAAAATTCTACGTACCTGTGCCAACGATCCACCTGATATGCTCGAAAGCGATGATACGAGGAATAGCGTAATCCGTGATGCTTCTCACAGAATCCAGCTGCTTTGAGAGTTCGAAACTATTCGTCTCTATACTGCGCGTTTGCTCGACAATCCTGGCACGTGCTGCATTGATCTCACGCCGAATCTCTACGGCAATATAGAATTTTTCTACGTTTCTGTCATCTCAATTTTTCGTTATTTGGTGTTGCTTACGGATATTTGGACCAAGAAAAAATAGTTATAAAAAATACACACTTAATATACACTTAAAATATATTCTTAATATTTTCTACTTTTTCGGATTTTTAAACAAAAATATCAACTTAATTTTATTTTTGATACAAAATTTTACATATATATATATATATATAAACTTCGATATTGTTATAACAGTTATATACCGCGCACCAAGATTTTCAAGACTCAATAATATTAACTCAATAATATATCTCAACAATAGTCATTAGATTGTGTTTCACTGTTCTGGCAAACAAAATTTTTGCATAATTTATGTATGTTAGCTAAAATTATTATCAAATAATTAAATACAAAAGATAAATACGTAGATTAACAAATGTTTGAATATTATTCGTCAATTTAATAAATTAATTTAATAATAAAAATATACAGGAAATATTCGATCTTATATCAAGTGTACAGATATATTGTAACAGAATATTTTAACAGTAAACTTGTCTCGTAACAATCCAGTGTTCTTCCTGAACGTTAGAACAGCTTGGCAGAGCAATCTCGATCGACAGACATTAAACTAGTTCGACTTTATCATCCCGGTAACGGGACGAATCTTTACAAATTTTTGCGACTTTTTTTCATGAAGTAATATTAATACGATATGGATTTCGCATTAGATCCTGGCCGTCATCTCCCTATCTCCCTATCTGTCTACCGATGGATGGTGACGGGCGACAAGCATTATTGGTCGATGGCGAGTTAAGAGAAGTCGACAAGAGTACAAGCTCGCGTCGCTTCGGTTCATCGACATTCCAACGGCGTAACATCCATCATCGTTTCATTGAGGAATATTCTCCATTTTCTTTATTAATAATTTCTTTGGAATTTTTTCCGTTTCATTAATGGGAAAGCAATGCTCATTATTCAATAATATGAACATTTTATAATGCCTATCAATATTTATTAATATTATCGTTATTATTTGAAAATATTTTTAATATCAATTTGTAGAGGCGAGCAAATTATATACGTGTATTCTATAAAGTTACAGATATTTAATGCAAAAACAATGATTTATAATAGAATAATTAAAAAGCCAAATGATTGTATACCAATAAACATTGATTTAAAAAAAGAAAATTTTGAATTTAGAAAAAAAAGAACATTATTAATTTAAAATTTTTGTATGCATCGAAAATGGTTCTAAACTATTTTGGTTTAGCATCTTAATGTATTTTTGCATCCGTAAAATATTGTTTTTTAATTTAAGAACGACTTATATTTTAACTCTAGATTTTTAATTATCTATATAAAAAATGACGAAAAATTTATAAATATTACTATCGTACATTTACAATAATTATACAATTTATATTTCTGAATTATACTACAAAAGCTATCTTATTAATATTACAAAGCATACATATCGGAATCTAGCAGACACAGAGTAAGTAGAATAGGTCCGTGATATTGCCCGACACGACAGGCCGTCAAAACGCGACTCTTTCAGCATCAATCATAGATCCCATCGCGAAAGTTTATACGGGTGCCTCGGGAAAGATATATAACACGTTCGCGATATCTACCAAGATGTTTGCTCAAAGCATTTACCGCATTCGTTTGTCTATTAAGGATAAAGTCCTCTGACTCTCCCTTTTTCGCCGTCGATCTCGTGCTCATCGCACTCTGGGGCAGAATTGCTGACGCGTATTCCCTCGTCCTGTGACGAAATATCGTTTATACAGTACTACATGGGAAAAGAGTAAAAAGGCAAAAACGTGTGCTATTGAAAAACGTGACATTCTGCGCTAAACTACCTGATCTAAAGAATGACGAAGAAGAAGGAAGGGAAAGGTTTAATGGAATTTTTTTAACAAAGTGATTTAGTCGTGCATGTGAATATCTTATAAGCTTCTTTTCATTTGGTTAACATTTTTATGCTTGCATATAATTTTAAATGAATATGAGATACGTGCACATGAATATATTACATTTTTCAACTAATACATGTGTAATTATATAATTATATTATTTTAATTTATTATTTAAATTATTATTCAAAAAATTTAGATACATTTTTTAAATATCGTTTAAAAATATCATATTTTACAGTGACAAATTTTATTTTAAAATAGTTATTTTTTTACATGTTGTAACATAAATCGTTTCTTTATTAGTAATCTTACTTTTAAAAATAACTGCAAATATATATGTATTCAAGATATTGCTAAATTCATATGTATTCTATATAATACTAAAAATTAATATATGAATTGTATCGTTTGGTAACTATATATTAACATTTTGGAAACTCTTATGCTTCAAGATAAAGTTAATATTATTTATAAATTTACAAATAAAGTAAATATATTATTTATAAAGCTTGTAAAGAAGAAGTGAAACTGTGATCTTATATAGTTCAAAAATTAAGAAGTTTAAGAAAGTTTAAGCAAGAATAAAAATATCTTTAAAAAAAGTCTATTTAATTTTATCGTACAAATTAGATTAAATATAAATATTTTGTTGATATAAAATAAATAAAGAATATTATAGCTGTCACATTATTAACTCTTCTGGCATCGATTCATAGAATTATTAAAATATCAAAATGCACTTTAATAGAACAAATTTTTCACTTTTTTAATTTTGTTCACGAAAAGATATGATCTAATTTAACCTGGATTTGTTTACCTTTAAAGTTATAATACAGCTTAACATCACTGTTACCGAACAATATACTATAGATATCGATAAATATGATGCAAAAACAAGGAAAAAGAGAAGGAGAAAAAAAGAGTAGAAGAACAGTGGAGATAACGCACATTATGAATCTACAAAAAGAGTATCTTCTTCGAAACTTTACTTTTTTATTTTATCTTCTAGTTCCTTGATATTGGCTTTATGTCGAAATAATGTCTATGAAATATTACGTAAGAATTCCAAAAAAATTTTAAAGTTTGATATTGTTGGCTTTTTGAAGTACATGCAGCGTTCAAAACAAATTTTATATAATTGTGTATAGTATTTCCTATATGAAAAATCTATTCTTAACTTTCTTTGTTCCATCTAAGTCAGCTTTCTTTGCCGTTATTCCTTCCGTGAAAGTTTTCTAGTTATACGAAGTGCTGATATCGATAGTTAAAATAGTGAGAACTCGTTACATAATTTTGGAACAATATATATATATATATATATAATATATATATATATATTTGTATAAACAAGCAAACACATTTAGAATTAATTTTTTTTCAAAATTTATCGGACTTTATTTCTTTAAAAGTATATAAAATTTTCCTTCCTTTATTTATTTTTAGTCAAAATATGCGAGATTTATTTTACGCAAACATTGCGGCTAGATTTATCAACATTTGTTACGATTTAATCGCGACGAAGGTTCACACAAGATTCCCGCATTTCTTTTTATTTCCTTCTATTGTTTGCGGCGGTAGATTGCGTTCTTCCCGATTGCTGTCTGGATTTCTGCGATGGAAATTATTCCAAGAATGAACTAACGCATCTGTTTGTACAAAGCTTTGAAATTAATCAGAGAAACTGACGATATTTCAAAAACTAACCATTACAAATTCATATAATAATATTATATAATAATAATAATAATCATGATGAAGATATAACTTATTGCTAACATAATGCACATTTAAGATGAAAAACTATTGGTAAAAAGTATAAACTTTAATGCCTAGAAAAATTTATCTCATAATAAATTAAATAGTACATAGATAAAAGAGGAATTACGAGAGTTTTCTCTGTAATGTATGTATATAGGTTGTATATACATTCTTTGCTTTTGTAAATTAGCGAGTTATACCGTGAAATGGCAATTATTCGTGTCATTACTTCTCCAACAGAACGGCATAAGCCATTTATTCAGCTTAACTCACATCATCTCTCATAACATTCAGAGAACCTGGCGTTGAAGGAACTAATTTAGCTTCTTCGAGTGCGCGAGCTCTTTGGCAAGTTTCTGCGCTGAAGTGTCGTCGCGATCTCAACGTGTCGTCGCGCGTGCTATAACGTATCATAATACATGACATCAATGCCGGGAAAGTTTTCTGACGCTTTATATATAGTGCATATCGTTCTCTCTCTTCTCTTCTTCCCAATTTCCTGCTGCCTCTCCCATTTTGATTCTTCTCAGAGAGAACCAAATAGTTACACGCTCAACTAAATTCTACGGGATCCACATTCATGACCCTTTCGATGAGGCACAAGGTTTGGCTGCGACTGGCTTTTGTATCGAAAAAAGCTCTGCATTGAGAGCGCAGATCTCGCGACTTTTTCCAATATAATATCAATTCAGAGAATGGAATCGTGAATATTCTACCTACGGTTACGAGCATCCAATGTGGTCCGGGCGATGTGATGCGTACATAGAGGTACTCTCCGCGAACTTGACGTCCTGCTTCCGTCAAATTTCCCCGACTGATGTTCCGTAGACTAGCAAACGATCGTCTCTCAGTAGCTGCAACAAAAGTATATACACAGTGTCTCAAATAAAATCAAATTTAATAGCAAAGTTTTTTCATCATTTTGACATCAATTTTTTTCCACAAATCTCTCCCGAAATGAATGTTAGGTATGTGTCTGTATATATAATTTTATTGTTAGTAGTTTTTGCTATAAAAGAAACAGTAAAAAACAGTTTATATTTTATCATTGAGATTTGATTCGCTTCTGAATCAACCTGTATAGACAATATAAGAATAAAATGATCGCACGAGAGCAAAATGTATCCATGTGCCGGAAATCGACAAACTGAAATAGTAAAAATTACGAGTAATTTATGAGTCTTTTGACTATATATAATATATTTTTATTATGGAAATTATCATCAGATAACAAAATAGCATGATCAACTAAGTTATTAATAGTGTTAATTTATACTTAAATGGTGATTCAAATAATAGTTTAAATATCTGCCAGAAGATGTGGGTTTCTGGTACCAATTTGTTAAAAGTTTCCGTTGTTTCTAATAACCGTTGTGTTTAAAAATTGATCATATTATTTGTTTCAATCGCATAAGTAAATTGTAAACGTTGATGATAATTATTAAATGTAGTCAGGATATTATCAATCTCAGAACGTGGAATTATTGCAAAAATGTCGTCAACATACCTAAAATCTTACATTGTAAAGCGTTTAAAAATTCTGTTTCGAGATCGTTCATAACTAAATCAGCCAAAATAGGTGAAAGAGGGAGCCCTTTTTTGAAATTGATCATTAAAACAAAACTTGTAGACTCTAAAGAACTTCAACTCTATATAAAATTGTGATAAGCTAAAACTGGTGTTATCAGAATGTCCGTCCAACGTTTTTCAATTGATTTTAAAACTAAGTCTGTAGGAATATTTGTGAACAAAAAAGTACATCAAGTAAAATCAACATTTCACTATTGTCAATATTAAAGTTCTTAATTTTATTCACAAAATTCCAACCATCTTTAATGTTGGAAGCAGGTTCAAGACTGACTTTTCTAAAATATCATGCAAAAAGTAAAGTTAATATTTTTTTAGTGACGTATTTGAATGCACATAATGTACGAGAAAATAAATTTGAAGATATAAATAATTAATTTATATATTAAGTACTTAGCACTACTTTAATTCAGGTAAATTTTAATCATAAAAAAAATTGAATAGGTGATAATAAGATGAAGAAGCGGAAGTTGTGAAGAATAATACTGCTATTATCGCGTAACATGATTGCATTCAGTCGCTAACGATGAGAAAAATGGATGTGACTTGAATTTGGGAGTCTGAGAGTATTATATATTTTTGTTTCATTTACATGCGTAGGATTTACATGCGAGATTTTCGATTTAACAAAAAATACAAAAAGAATTCTTGAAAATTTCCGCTGCAGTACTCTCATCTCTCTTTCAAATCTCAATTTAAAATTTACTATTTTTATTTAAAATTTTGTAAGCTTTTTGAGCATGCAGAACAAAGTAAAAAGTAAAACTAACGAACTATTTTTTTTTTTACAAAAACTGCAAAAAAAAAAGAAAAATTTATCCGACTATTATAATTACGGTATTATATTTGTAATGATTAAATATTATAACATATAGAGATGTAAATAAATATGGGGAAAAATGATATATGTTACGAGCAGAAATATATGAAAGAACGTAAATATTGAGTAAAATTTTAATTAAAAGATGATATTTTAATTAAAATCGTAGCAAAACATTGTTATAAACTCGTTTAAATAAATGTAAACTGCCATTTATATTTATAATCGTTACTACATCGTTTGTGCATTTTACACCTATTCGTATTTATTTAAACAATTTTGCTGCATATGAATAAAATATCTACATACAGAAGCGTGATAAAAATCCGCCGCAAATCAAATTATTTATTCAACGCGAACGCATTAGACCATACTAACGTCAATTGTAAAGTTTATTCACCCGTTCTATCTGTAGATCCAAGCGAATCCCTGAAGAGTCAATGACAGCACAAAGAGAACGATCTGGACCGGAGCATGCTCTCACCGCACTTTCCAAGTCCCGTCGTATCTCGTCCGTTTCCCTACTCAATTCCAATCCGAGTTTCGTGAGCTTTCTCACCCTCCCTCAGCAAAGATTCAGTTCTGGCAGATAACTCTTGCGTCGCTGAAACATGTAATACGATACCATTAACAGCTTACATATACCCTGTATTTAATGTTCTTATGTTACCTAACACCATTAGAAATTGACACAGAGAAATTATCCAAGTTTACACTATAAAATCAAACGCACTGAAATAATATCTGTTTCTGTTTAGAAGGAGTTCTAGAGAAGAACATTATAATATTGATACATGTCGAGAGAAAATACACATAATGCTCGTTAATAAATGATTAATAAATTAAACTTTGGATATAGGACGTGAAAGATATAACGTGTATCGTGAGTGCCTGTAATATAATAAATAATTATAATAAATAACAATTGCATTTATCTTTGTCCACGTTTGATAATAATCCATAGCGTTAATAATCTTAAGACGAACTTCGACATACTGGATATACTCAATAGATTATCAACTATTAGCCGAACAACTAAAAGTAATAACGGAGGGTGTAATGAAGCAATTTGTAAGATGCCGCCACCTGCCTATTAATATATTATACTTCGTCTGCACTGATGGGGAAATATACGATAGCGATAGCGTGTCTCATATCGTGTCTCTGAACATTTGCCACCGTAACAGGCTTTCGTTACTCGAATTAATTCTACTACAAACGCACTCCGTCGTGAGGAAGGCGACCTTCGATTCGTGCTCATGGCTATATTTTTGGCAAACTATACGGCGTGTGTTACAAATTTATAATTACGACGTATCTAAAAAATTAAAAAATTATAAAGAATAAATAAAATATTTTATAGCACATTTGTGCGGTGTGTGTGAAAACCAGACGTGTATATATTTAATAGTCACTGCGCAAAGATTGAAA